CCCTCGTCTCCTGCCCCCTCTGACCCCGCACAGGCACCGAGCGCGGTGAGACATCCCACCCCACCCATCCCACCCGCGGTGCCCGCGACGATTCGAATCTTTACTCGCCCCACACCCCCAACTCCCGCTCCATCGCTCTCCGCCGCTGCCACCACCATCACCACGACCACAACCACCACCACCATCACGACGACGACCACCACCACCACCACGACCACCACCACGACCACCACCACGACCACCACCACGACCACCACCACGACCACCACCACGACCACGACCACCACCACGACCACCACGACCACCACGACCACTACGACGACGACCCCGGCGTGTCGCTCTCCGCGATGATGCCGCCTGAACGGGCGCGGCAGCGGCGCCCAACGCTGTCCACGATGCCGCGGCGGACATCACGGTTGGGGTTGCCACCTTCAACGCTGAGCGCAGTGTAGAGCAAAGCCCGGACGCATTCCTCGGTCAGCGCGAAGGTCTATCAGCACCCACTGCGCATTGTCCTGGAGTAGAGTTCGACACAGCGACACCCGCGGGTATCACAGATCTCGGCCACTGGAACACAGCCGCTAAGTCCCGGGATGTACCGGTCAAACCCGGACAGGTGGCAACCCGAGTGCCAGGCCTTGCGTTGCATTAGTACTGTGGTCGTTATTAATGGAGAGAAAACAGCGAGGAGAGGTTTTGCCACTTGACCGTCCCGAGTGGTGGAAATTCCACATTCTTTTGACGGGAGCGAGTGCGATGGCTTCCGACAATGCAAAGGAGAGTCATGTCATCTCTGGACGTTTGGTAAATTTTATTCATGAATTTCATTCATGAATTTCATTCATTGGCCGCGTAGCTTCGTGTTGGAGGGAGCCGGAGGAAGCCCACGTGGGGCGGGGGGGGGAGGCACGACTCAACCCACGACACCCAGGGGCGTCTCTCGGCAGACTCCCGCCTCGACCCTGCATAGCTCGGGAGATCGCATGAGATCGGATGAGATCGCATAAGACCTGATAGTGCGTTATCTTTCTTCTGTTCACCTTTTGGCGTCCTCTGACACTGTGTGAGACTAGGCTCTAAAGAAAGCTGTCTCTGGTGTGGACCAATCGGTTTCAAATACAACGCATCATCATCTACTCTCAGAGCATGTGTTTTTCTGTTTACATGTTCACCACAAGCACTGCGTGTGGTTAATGCAGACTTTGCCCCTTGCAAAAAGGTTTCTGTTTGGTGTTTGAACATCTGAACACAGCTGCTTTATTGCCAGAATGGGTAAAACCTGTTCTTATCGTTTGATATTGGCAAGGGAGGTCCCGTGATGAGATTGGACGCGATTGAATTGGGACGAGGTTGGTCGATATCGGACGAGATCGAACGCATTCAGGATGATTTGGCCATTAGCAGCACAGGACCGGGTCCCTTGGGACCAGGACCCGGGGGCCCGTGGAATCCAGAACCCGAAGTCCCCAGGGCCCATCGGGACTGGGACCCCCCACGAAGCCGTCGCCTGGGCCTCGTGACCCTCGAGTAACCCCAGGGGCCCGTGCATCGGCCCTCACGCTTCTAGCCCCTGCGATGATTTTTTTTTTATCAAAGAGAGGGAAGATGGGGGGGGGGGGGCAAGTGGAGAAACAAGGCGACACAGGGAGAGATACAAAAAAACCAGAGCTACCCCACAGATGCGGCGGAGTGATTGAGTACATGATGTATTGCGTGGGATTGTGTTAACTCATGCAGTCGTCATTCAATCAATCAATCTGCATTCAACTCTTGACCATTTCACTAATTTATTGTCCAATTCGAGTATTGATTAATTCAACTGTTCACCATTTCACTCATTCACTTGCTAAACCCTTGACTAACTCCACTCATTAAGTCACTAATTTGCTCCTTCATTTGACCAGCTGTCAGCTGGGTGTGGTGGCACAAGTATGTGAGCTGGTGCCTTGGAGGCAAGGGTTGGTGGATTCCGTAGAGATTTGGGAAACTGACAACCCCGCTGAGTTGTGCGGTGGAAAAGTAGATGGCAGTACAGCAAGTGGGTTAATGAACCTGTCAATACATAGTTTGCCCAGCACATCACCTTTTTGCAACTGGGCCACATATTGGCCAGTCAGTGTGTGTCCGAGTGTGGGCAGCGGTGGCGCAGCGATAAGCGCACTGCACTGCAAACCCTGCGACCAGAGTTCCCAGTCTTGCTTCTGCCCAACATCAGTGACACGTGGTTCCTGAACCTGTCCTGGGGTTCTCCTACATCGGCGTATGGAGGTGCCTTGGTGGCCGAGACTTCGCGTGCGAATTAATAAAACAATGTAGAGAATGTGGGGTAAATAAATGATAAAAAGCAAAATTGTTACAAAACCACCGGGCCTGGTACGGGGAGGCAACTTTCCCCGAGACAGCAGATGGCACCGTCCATGCAGCCAACGTCGACAGACGCATCATCGGCACGAGCAACTCGTCACCGGCAACTTGTCACTGGCAACTTGTCACCAGCAACTCGTCACCGGCAACTCGACACTAGCAACTTGACACGAGCACACGAGCAGCTCGTTGCCAGAAACTCATCACCAGCAACTTGAACAAGGTGTTTACTAACCCTCCCCACCCTGGGCAAAATAGACAAAAAGGTAAGCAGGTCACTATAATTAAACAGAGCTATGTTAAAATTTCAAAAGTACTAAAATTCCTGCCGATTGGTCAACACCAAATGCAAGCTTTGGCAAGGCAACAACAACAGTCCCAGACTGCACCAAGACAACAACACACAGTCCCTGAATAAAACTGCACATTCAAATTGATCAATCGATCTAATTGAACTATACACAGGGCACGGGCCAGTAGATTAGCGTGGGTGGCAGGGGATGAGATCGAGGCCCATCTCTACATAGCCCGGCAGCTGGACACCCCCCCCCCCCCCTCCCACGGGGCACGGCTGTGGAGCGCGCGGCTCTCGGTTCCCATCTGCGGCGTTGACTCGAGAGCGTCCGCGGCGGAGACATTCCCCTGGCTCCGGATCTGCAGCCGTGAGCACGAAACGCTCCCTAGAAATTAATGCCCCACCGCAGTCGGATTTTTGTTGTTTTTTCATTTTATATTTTACGATCAGTGTTGGCGCCGGCTGCTGCTGCCGCCGCCGCTGCTTCGCGCCGTCACGTGGCCCAGCTGGACCGCTGTGACGGCACGTGGCCCTCGGCTCACGATGTCGAGAATCGAAAATCCCGGTTGGAGGATCCACTCATCATCAACCTCAATACCATCATCATCACCACTACCATCGTTCGTATGGGGTGAATACATTGAAAGCCACTTCATGGGAGGTCCGCAGTGATGGTGCGAGCGAGAGAGAGACTGGCCCCTGACACACTAATGTGGATATTATTACATTTGTCTCAGGGCCATCAAGAGCGATGAACACCACCCCCACGCTCCTCGGAGCCGAGAGAGGCCCGTTGACCGTCTCCTTCGTTTCTCCCAATCGCGTTTGTCCCGGAGTAAAGATCGACGCACGGCGCGCAGCGGCAGCGTCATCACCACCGCGTGTGGGAAAATGGTCCCCGGAAATGACGTCACAAAGCTTCTTCTGAGGTCTCTGCAATTCCGTACTTAGCCACGCGTTTTTAAACGTCCCGCAAACGAAGCGATTCAACTCTCCCGAGCTGGAACTGTTCAACGTAAAGTGGTGTTTTACTTTTGTGCAGCCATCGACAACCGGGCTGAGACCATCAACTCGTGACGACCGAGAAACCAGTTTAAACACGGACGGTTGAAACCTGGATTCCAACCCAGGCCCTCGGCGTTGCCGGTTCTGGCAAGTGTTCACTCGCTCTGGATGCCAGAGAGCGAAGGGATGACTCAGAGACACGAGGAGGGGGAGGAGGAACCACAGTCCGAGCGTGAAGGCAGCAGCCACTTTCTAAGAAGCCGGTGCTACCAACAATTGCCCAAGTTCTGCGATCCTCTATGAATTCGGATATTTGGGTTCCGGATCACGGATCGAAGGTCACGTCAATCCGAATACCCCCGTCAGGTGAAGCGAGCGAGCGAGCAAGGTGATCGAGGTGATCGAAATGTGCGTGGAGGTGATTGACTTGCCCGGCGCTGCCTGCTCGGCACTCGGCCTCCAACACATTCCACCCCCGTCAACTCCGCACCGCTCTTTCCAAAATAAAATTAATCCACGCACTACGTACCGCGCGTCGCGCACGTTGCCGCACACATTTTTCAAATTCCCAGCACAGCAGCGCCAGCTGTCCGCTGAGAAGTGACCCACGGCGTCTGTGCTGCGGAACACGCGCGGGGGGACGGGGCCGAGGATGCGAGCGAGAGAGCGAGCGCATCTCCTGGTGGTGTGGGTGGTGGATCTCCTGGTGGTGTGTGTGCTGGATCTCCTGGTGGAGTGGGTGGTGGATCTCCTGGTGGTGGGGGTGGTGGATCTCCTGGTGGTGTGGGTGGTGGATCTCCTGGTGGTGTGGGTGGTGGATCTCCTGGTGGTGTGGCTGCTGGATCTCCTGGTGGTGTGTGTGGTGAATTTCCTGGTGGTGTGGGTGGTGGATCTCCTGGTGGTGTGGGTGCTGGATCTCCTGGTGGTGTGGGTGCTGGATCTCCTGATGGTGTGTGTGGTGAATCTCCTGGTGGTATGGGTGCTGGATCTCCTGGTGGTGTGTGTGGTGGATCTCCTGGTGGTGGGGGTGGTGGATCTCCTGGTGGTGTGGGTGGTGGATCACCTCGTGGTGGGGGTGGTGGATCTCCTGGTGGTGTGGGTAGTGGATCACCTAGTGGTGTGAGTCATGTAACTCTTGGTGGAACAGATGGTGGACCTCCCGAGTGGTGGAGATGATGGCACTCCTGGTAGTACAGGTGGTGGAACTCATGGTGGCCTCAAGTGATGAACCTCTGTGCGGTGCAGACGATGGAACTAATTCATGTTCACCATCGACGGTGGGCCTTGTGGCGGGGGAGCACCCGGCGGAACGCGCGGACGCCTGGGCGTCACTCACCTTGCACGGCGAGCTCCACCTTCTCGAGGTTGCGCAGGGAGATGCGGATGAGGCTCGAGTTGAGCTGGAGCAGCTCCTGGTGCTCGGGCCACAGCTCGTTGGCGGAGGGGTTGAGCAGGAAGATGCGCGTGTCGCCCGTCGACACCTGGTTGTCACAGATGCTCGGCTCACCGAAGCCGCCCACCATCACCTTGCGGCCGCCGTCCATGAGCGCGCTCGGGGACAGGATCTCGCGGCCCTTGAGGAAGCGCCACACGCGCACCTGGGGACGCACACACGCAGAGAGAGGCGAGATGTTAACTGCCTCGTCGGGTATGTAGAAGCTCGTTGGTTCGATCCCGACCCCTGATGCCTGCTGTATATATGGAGTTTGCGCGTATCTCGCTCTCTCTCCCAGTGGTCACATCGATTTTTCTGCGGGTTCTACAGCTTTTCCCTCCACATTTAGACTCAACGTCACATTTAGACTCAACGTCACTCAACGAGTATTTGGCCACCATACATTTCCCACACGATAAGCCCCTTCGTTAAGCCATCATTTGTGATAGCCAGGTTGCTTCTGAAAGAGAGCTGTGTAGCCTGAGTGGTGCGCCTTACCTGGTCAAATAAAGGAATAGTTTAATTGTTTAGATTACTCGCGGACTCGCCTCTCCAGTGCAGAGGGCCCCACTAGAGGTGAGCCTCGGGGAATGACACCGATGCCCCCACCGAGGGTGACGCAATCGGTCACCGTGAGCCAGAGCCCTTCTCACCTCTCAAGGTGCCTCGTGCCACCGCCAGCCGCTGACCGCACGCAAACGTCGCGGGCTGCCATCGAGGAGTGTGGGTGAGCGACGACAAACCGGACACCACGGAGTCGTGTTCTCCAATAAAATAAAAACGCACTCGCATGTTTATTTACTTACTTGCCCCTGGTCCGGCGGGGCCTCCTGAACGTGAAGCATCTCAACAGCCAAGGCTCGGGCGCCACGGTATATTGAGCGTGATAGATGTTGACTCTGTTTATAACAGCGCCAGTGTTACGTCGCCATGTATAGAGCGAGGAGAGTACATTGTGGTAGAGTGTGGGGAGCGGTCGTGCTCACAGTCAACACCGGTGACGATTATCTGCACCGGTCCTGGGCCTCCCCAAGGTCGACTCGGCGTCAAATCGGTACCTGGTGTGGTGTGTAAACATCGCCACTAGGGAGACAAAGGCGACCGGGCGTTGTGTTGACCATCCACCCCTCGTGTGCCATGCTCGCTAACAGCACTTGCCCCAACAGCCTGTTTGGGGTTGGAGAAAAGATGGATTGATGCGGCACAGACAGATGTCGAGCTGATGGGACTTGCTGATGCTTGGTTCTAGTAGTGCACGATCGGCCTCTGTGGAGGAGACTCGTGAAGGACGCTGCTGCTGCTGGGCAGTTGGAGGCAGTCGCCCTCCAACAAGAACGGAGGTCAGAGGAGCGACGCTCACAACAACGAGCGGAGCGCCGGGTGGCTAAATCGCAACAAGTTTGCACAATGCGGTGCACAGGTGGTGGGAGCATCATCTGCCAGTCATCGCAGTCGACCCATGACACCTGCGTCTGTTACGTGACCTTCCTGTTCAGCCAGCAGCGAGAGCCTTCGACACTTGGCGGCAACGCCTCCTCGTGGTGCACCTAGCCTGGCACAAGCGCCGTGGTGGCGTCACCGCAGCTGAGTGGTTGTTGTTGTTGTTGGTGTGTACGTGTGTGTGCTCCCACACTGGGCTGGCGGGACACTGTACGGAGTTTAGAGCCTCTTGCCTCCTCCTCCGCCTCCTCCGCTCCGAGCGAAGGTTGCGCGAGCCGCGCGTCACGCGGGGATGGATTTTTTGGGGTTAAAATCCGCGAGTGGCAACTTGGAGTTACCCGTTGGTTCTTTCGGTAAAGTGACTGTAGAAAGAAAATAAATTAAATAATAGAATACGACCTTTCGATTGCAACACAAGCAACCGTCATCAGGTAGAACTAAATTTGAGAGAGGGACAAAACACAGACACGGAGACACACAGACAGACACACACGCAGACAGAGACAATACAGAGACACACAGAGAGAGACACACACAACATAGACACACAGAGACAACACAGAGACACAGAGAGAGACACACAGACAACACACAGAGAGACACACAAAACATAGATACACAGAGACAATACAGAGACACACAGAGATAGACACACACAACATAGACACACAGAGACAGAGAGAGAGAGACACAACATAGACACACAGAGACAACACAGAGACACAAGCAGAGAGACACACAACATAGACACACAGAGACACACAGAGAGAGACACACAACATAGAGACACACAGAGCCAACACAGAGACACAGAGAGAGAGAGACACACAACATAGACACACAGAGAACCAATGCTTCTGTCGAAACCAAAGAGTAATTCCTGCAGTCACGAAAGCTTCAAATCAACTTGGGGTTGTTAAAAGTCGCTTAGTTTGCTTTTACTGCCTATGACCGCAAGACGGGGGAACAAACCGGTTAATTCCGGGTTTGCCCCAACGTATGAAACAAAAGTGTTTAGAAGTCAACATCGGACTGGAGAAGTCCGATGAGCTATGAAGCTCTTATTTCACAGATGTCCAAGAGGACATCACCATTGTCGCCTCTTGAGCCGTGAAACGAATGGAGGAGGCTGCTGCTGCTGCCGCTGGCCCGACAGGGGCTCGCAGCGTGCCGTGCGTCGGTTCCATTCGACCTCTCGGCGCGGCAGCTTGAAGAGTGAAGCAAGTTCCTTAAACCCACTGCTCCCTCTCTCTCTCTTTGCCGGTAGTTGTTTCATGGGGCACAGTACAAGCACGGCTCCATTCTCTTCCAAGACGTCTGCTGCGCGTGGAAGATTAGGCCAAACGTCGCCCTCCACTCGGTGCATTCATCACCAACATTCCACTGGAATCGATTGCCGGGCCCTGCCGTTTTGGATGGATTTCAAAAAACGGTTACCGGTTTTGTTGTTGTTGTTGTGTTTGTTTGTCGATCATCGTTATGAAGAATCAAACTTCGCGTCGAGGGAGACCGGGCGCAGCCGCGTGACCAGAGACGGCTTCCCTCTCATCCCGGAGCGTGGCCACGTGGGAGTTTGAATTGGTGGTCGAGTCGTCACCATAACGACAGCCACGTGGGGGGGGGCACGTGACTGTCGTCACCATGACGACAGCCACGTGGGGGGGGAGCACATGGCCTGCACCGCTCACACGCCGTGGCTGCCCTGCGCGCGACCTCGTCGCGATCGACGCTGCAAATTTTGTTGCTCCTGCTTGGAACACAGTTTTCGTCAACGTCATCATCATTATCATCAGCCATTAATGATCTATCCACTGCTGGATGAAGGATTTCCTGCCCCCCCCCCACCCCAAGCTACTGCGATCTCTCACTGTCGAGGCTGCGACGCAACAGCGAGCGTGACAGCGAGCGTGACAGCGATCGTGACAGCGAGCGCGCGTGAACGTGACACTCCGCTCCATGTCCGCGGGCTGCACGTCCTCTCTCGGGCGTATTTAGCTCCTCGTGGGTGCCACTCCGTGGTCGCCAGCAACCTCCGAGTTCATCAGCGCGACATCCCTCTTCACGGACGCGTTCCATTCGTTTGGCTGCCACTCGGTTGTTCGTCTCGACCACAGGACCACCACCACCACCATTCCCTCGTCTCGCCATGACGCGTCCTGCCAAATCCCACGAGCCTCTTGACGGTCACTGCGTCGCTTTCAGATGCGCTTCCGCGGCCGTCTGGAACGCTCTTCGCTTGGAGCTGTGCACTTTTAAATCATCACTTAGATTGACAAACTCGTTTCTTTAGTTTTCGATTTAAAGCTTTCGTGACTGCAGGGATTCATATTCTTGGTTCTTTCGGTAAAGTGACTTAGAAGGGAAATAATAAAATAATAAAAATAAAACAATACAATTCTCACGACGTTTCGATTGCAACACAAGCAATCATCATCAGGTGTGAAAACCACGGCAAGAAAATTTGAAAAAAGTGGCGGTTCAAATTTCCTTGCTGTGGTTTTCACACCTGATGATGATTGCTTGTGTTGCAATCGAAACGTGAGAATTTTATTGTTTTCTTTTATTCTTTCCCTTCTACGTGACTTTACCGAAAGAACCAAGAACATAGCTTCTTTAGAACGACGTTTTAGTGTTTAGTTCGTCGTCCTTCCCCCGCTCCTTCGATCAGCGCGGTTGGCTACGTACATACTCAACCCACGCGTGTCTGCGCTCTGATGCACGCGATGGCACACCTGGACAAATCTCTTCCGTGACTGCCGATATCTTTAATAAATAAATAAACATTGGCGAGGCGGTGCAGGGACAGGCGCTCGTTTGGACCGTCAAAAAAAGAGTTGCCGGAAACATTTTTTTCAATAATTATTATTATACCGGAACATGCATCTCAACTCAATATGGAAGCATGTCACTTTGCCTGCGGGGAGTGAGATTGATCTGTCACGCATCGACGACTTCTCCACGCCGGAGAATTCCACGTTTCCACGACGATCGACGCTCTGAAGAAGGGCCCATTGCCCGGAACGTCGCCTATTAAATTTAGCAGCGTTCCTTGAAAGGCCACACACGGACACACACAGAGAGGCGTTGTCCTTCTGTCAATCTACTGCTGGATAAGGACCTCCCCACGCCGTGCGGGAGGCAGGGGAGGGTGGGGGGGTGGGGCATTTGACCATACTTCGCCACGCTGGTCAGTGCGGCTTGGTGATGGTGGGGGGAGCACGGACAGACCCAGGCCGCGCAGAAGTACAGTACAACTACGGAGTCTGCTGCACCACCCTCTGCTGCCCGCCAAGAGGGAGCAAAATAAAAACGTTGCGGCTCCATCGTTCGGTCCCCCACTGCTGGGTCTCCGTGACCCCCCACTCCTGGTTCTCCGTGCCCCCCGCCACCAAGATCCCCGCTGTGTCCACGTGAGTCCACGTGTGTGTGCCCCCCCCCCCCGTGTGTGCCCCCCCCCCCGTGTGTGCCCCCCCGCGTCTCACCATGCCCGCGTAGGTGTGCAGCACGGGGTCCCTGTGGAGGATCTCCTCCACGGTCCCCGTGAGGACCACGTTGGCCGCCTCCTCGCGCAGCTCGAGGGCCGCGTCCCCGCGCACGCAGTCGGCGCTGGCGAACCAGCGGAGCCGCGCCGCGTGGCTCCCCCCGCTCAGCGCCAGCAGCACCAACAGCAGCAGCAGCGGTGCTGGCAAGGGGCACCCCCAGCGGCAGTAGCGGGAAGGCGACATGGTGCCCACACCGCCCACGTCTGCGCGTGTCTCTCTCTCTCCGTGTCCGCGCGCCTCTCGTCCCCCACGTCTCCGCGTGGCTGTCGATCTGCGTGTCCGTTTGCGTGTCTACGAATCGGCGTCCGTAACGTCCCGTCTGTGATCACCGTGTGTGTCTCCCTGACTCCGTGTGTGTCTCCGTGTGTCTCCCTGTCTGTTTCCCTGTCTCCCTGTCTGTCTCCCTGTCTCTGTGTGTGTCTCCCCCCTGTCTCCGTGGGTGTCTCCCTGTCTCCGTGTGCCCGCCCGCGTCTCCGCTCACCCCTCGCCTCTTTACCTGAGCGCTGTCTCAGACAGTACCCCCACCCCACCCTACCTGTCCCCGTGTCCCCGCGTCTCACTCGGACTCCCTCTCTCTCTCCCTGCCGTCTCGCGGTGTCTCTCCCCCACCGCTCCACTCAACTGGCAGCGTCTCCCGCTCCGTCTCCCCGCGTCTCTCGTCGCATCCGCAACTTCTCCCCGCACGCAGTTCCCGGGTCTCGGACGCGACTCCGACGCGCAGGGTGATGCAGGGTGATGCAGGGCGGTGCAGGCTGCGCCACTTTCTCAACTCGCGGCACCAGCGCCTCGCCTGCGAGTGGAAGGGTCCCGTGCGGAGCCCCGATGTAGCTGGGGAGGGCTCAGGAGGAGGCGGCGGGCTGGGGGAGCCCGCGGTGTCCGCAGCGGCGACTCGAGCTCTCGGGAGCCGGCAGAGCGGGGACGCGGAGAGTGAAGCGATGGGGGCTTCGCTTCATTTGCATAACTTATGCGGCTCTCCAGCGGGCAACGGGCACGCCCAGCCTCGCCGCCTCCTCCTCCTCCTCTCTTTGACCTCTCTCTCTCTCGCTTCTCCTTCTCTCCCTTCGCTCTCTCTCTCTCGCCTCTCCTGCCGTCTCTCCCTTCCCTCTCCTCCTGCTCTCTGCGCGTACTACCTATCCCTTCTCTCTGTCTCACTTACCTCTCTCCCCCCGCTCCCCCCTCTCTCTCTCTGCCTTCTGGTCCTCGCTTCGCCTCTTCTTCCTCATCCACGCTCTCTCTCCGTGTTCTTTTCGTGTAAACATAGGTACCCCTACCTCAACCACACACACAAACTACAATCACACCTGTAACACACAGACACACACTCCCACCACCATCACACCTGTAACACACACACAGACACACACCCCCACCATCATAACACCTGTAGCACACACAGACACACACTCCCACCATCATCACACCTGTAACACACACACAGACACACACCCCCACCATCATAACACCTGTAGCACACACAGACACACACTCCCACCATCATCACACCTGTAACACACACACAGCCACATACTCCCACCATCATTACACCTGTAACACACACACAGACACACACTCCCACCATCATCACACTTGTAACACACACACAGACACACACTCCCACCATCATAACACCTGTAGCACACACAGACACACACTCCCACCATCATCACACCTGTAACACACACACAGCCACACACTCCCACCATCATTACACCTGTAACACACACACACACTCCCACCATCATCGCACCTGGAACACACACACAGACACACTCCCACCATCATCACACCTGTAACACACACACAGACACACACTTCCACCATCATCACACCTGTAACACAGACACACACTCCCACCATCATCACACCTGCAGCACACACACAGACACACACTCCCACCATCATCACACCTGTAACACACACACTCCCACCATCATCACACCTGTAGCACACACAGCCACACACTCCCACCATCATCACACCTGTAACACACACAGACACGCACTCCCACCATCATCACACCTGTAGCACACACACACACTCCCACCATCATCACACCTGTAACACACACACAGACACACACTCCCACCATCATCACACCTGTAACACACACACACAGACACACACTCCCACCATCATCACACCTGTAACACACACAGACACACACTCCCACCATCATCACACCTGTAACACACACACACAGACACACACTCCCACCATCATCACATCTGTAACACACACACAGACACACACTCCCACCATCATCACACCTGTAACACACACACACACACACTCCCACCATCATCACACCTGTAACACACACACACAGACACACACTCCCACCATCATCACACCTGTAACACACACACACAATCTCAAACCCACACACAGTGCTCCACCACAACCATGTTTCCTCGCCTCCCTTGTGTATGTTGAACTTCTTTCACACTCTACGTAGCCAACCATGCTGATCTGAGGTGTGGGAAAGGACAAGATGCCTTTACACGGGCTTTACAATGAACGACTCGAGTGCATGAACGATGAATGCATTTCTAAGCCATCTGCTCTGTAATTCGTTCATCAGCCCCGAATCCATCACCCCCCCCGCCCCAAGCGGCACCCTTCCACTTCTCACCGCCAGGCGGAGCTGCGTCTCACAAGCGATGGGTCGATTCCTCAATCGATTATTCGATCCATGAATCGATTACGTTAAAATAAACCCATTGCGTTGAATGCAGCGCCCTCTAGCGGCTGTAGAAGTCACGTGAGCCCATTACGTACACGACCATCACCACCGGAACATGCTCAATCCACTGCTTGACAAGCTCTTCCCCGAGCCGTCGCAATCATCTCTCACGGCCCCGACTGGACGTCTGTGAAAGAGCTTTGTAGCTCACCGGATTCCTCCTGCAGTAACAAGTCTGATCCCGGCGTGCACACGAGCCGATCCCATCGCTCAATCTCCCTTCCTGAACGTTAATCTCGGACGCGTGCCATTCCTTGGCTGCTACTCCGTTGTTAGTCTCGCCACGCGTCCTGTCAAAGCCCACTCACGCTTCCTAACAACGCAATTAGACTCGACTACGGCCTATATTTAAACTTAACATTGCAGTGGGTATGAAGGGCGAATGGAAAAAAACGCAGGTCAGGCCTGTGAACAGAGTGCTTTGGAATGTACTAGAACTTTAAACACGAGCGTGTATTTGAAATACCAATGTGTCTGTTCCGTTCCTGAAAGCAAATCGAGATGAATGTACCCCGTGCCACTATGGACGCCAAAGTGGCGGTGGCAACGCCTGTGCCTCACACCACGTGACTGAGTTCGATTACCGACCCGGGTGGCTGTGTGGAACTCGTGAACTCTCCCTCGCTCCGCGCGAGTTTATTCCAGATTCTCTGCAGTCTCCCCAAGGCCAAAACAAGCAGGCAACGTAAACTGTGCTCGCCAGGCATAGAAACGCACAAGAACTCGATTGGGATCACGCTGCGGCAACGGCGATCCTCCCTTCAAGTCTTAGAACTCGAAGGCAAATGTGGGGATACATTTGGACGCCGCATGTGGAGGAAACTGGAGCGTTGCAAGTCCCACTGGGGATGCTGGACGTGAATTTCAATCTATCGCGAAGCCAAACAGACCAGCCTAAAAATTAGGGTTGGTGGAAACATGCGTCGGCAAATTCCACCCACCAGGCAGTGCGCGCAATGTCAGGTGTTGTTCTGGTTCATCGTTCACGCGTTCCCATTGCACCTCTCCCGAGGGTAACATTGACAAATCTTTGATTCAATGGGGTTATCGTCTTGCCTGAAAACCTCCCAACGGATTCGGAAAATATATAAAATGCGCCTAGACATTTTCGCCATTTAAGGATTCATTAAGTGATGGCCATTGCGATTCAAGTCACCGTACACAATAATCCAAATTACCAAAAATCGGAATGCAATTGGAACAAGAATATTATTTAAGACCGACTACCTTGGGCGGGCTGCACATTAACAAATCTCGGTCACCTGCAGCAGCTAAGCAGGAGACCCTCAGTGACAGACGCGACTGAGTACAGCACTGAAGTTAGAAAGCATCGCAAAGTCAAAACCATCCCCCCTAAAGCCCTCGATTAGTGTGGCCAAGATGCCTGCAGTGACATGGGGAAATTTTCTAGTTAAAGACTCTTCTATGTGGCAGGCCTGATGTGGTGCAGGCTGTCGATCGACCACCCGATGCAAAGACAATGCCCACGTACGGCAGCACAACAGGCCAACAGGTGATGGCAACACGTGGCGCCACACCCAGCGCTGTGGCGTCATTCCACGGCCACCCCGTTGATGTGAATTAAGGCCGAGTTGACCTATGGAGGCCCAGGATCAATCATGTTACCACTTGCAACTGACGGCAATATTTCCAGCTTCGCGGCGCATGAACCACTGCACGTTGAACTTCTTTCGCACCATACATAGCCAACTGCGCTAAATCGTAGGTGCGGGCAAGGAAAACTAAACCGTATGTACTTAATAAACATCTTTCGCACCGTGGACAACCTCGCCCGATCAGGCAATCACAACACAAGACGGCTCCGTCTCAAACTCCACGAGTCATTTTTATTGGCATTGCGCGGCCAACAACCGGACAGCGAGCAGAACGAGGGGGGCACGCCCAGTGCTTAGTCCTCTTCGTCTTCCTCCTCCTCGTCCTGGTTGATCTGGAAGTAGCGCAGCTCGTAAGAGTCCTTGCTGGCGGCGACCACACGCAGCCAGTCCCGCAGGTTGTTCTTCTTCAGGTACTTCTTCGTCAGGTACTTGAGGTACCTGCAAGGTGTCGAGGGGCAGGATTGGGTACGTCACACATGCTGCCGGCGCCAAACAAACACAACGGACAACGCCGTGGGGACCTCGCGCACCGCGGTCGACCCATCGTGCACGCCTGGCTGTCAGACTGCTGCGCGGCTGTGCTACGATGTGGGCAAAGGAGGAGGGCCGTGCATCGAAGGTAATTGTATTTTAAGCTTCATACGCTCCACGTCTTCACCAACCAGTGCAGGTCAACTAACCCGCACGGTCACCCGCGTAGCGTGGCCCTCAGCCAGTGGTGGAATGACCAAACATGGCTTCATCTATATATATGAAAAAGGGAAACTTGTGAATGTGTCTGTTCAAAATGTTTACATACTTCCCAACATACAACAAACTTAAAATGTGGCATGTGGGGGCGCAATAATAGATCTATTTTGCACGGCAGGTGAGCGGTGACTTCACATCCGTGATGTCACCCGTATGTGGCAGCGTCACAGTGTGCCTGCTGATTCACGGCCTCCGTTTAGGCCGTGAATTAATCCAAAACAAGAATCCAAGTCTCGGGCGAAGCTGGGTAGTAAGGCTAGTGTTACTTATTTTAGGCAGTGACGGCACAAAGGCTATTGCCACTTGGCAAGGCCAGTGCTCTGAAATGGTAATTGATCCCCATAGAATTAAAACCCTGGGGTTAGACAATTATTTACAACTCCTCCCAGAGTAATTTAACTAACCAGCCTAATTCTGACCCTGTCGGGGAGGGGGGTAATTTCTATAGTAATATTTGTATCCTAGGGTTCAACAAATAAAGTATTCTAAGCCCAGGGTGCGAATGTCCATGTGGGTGTAAGTGGACAGTGCGCGCCCTCCTCACCGCTTGGAGAAGGGGATCTCGGAGGAGACGGTGATCTTGCTCTTGCTGCGCTCCACCGTCACGGCCGAGTGCTCGCTCACTTTGCCCGTCTTGCCGTCCACCTTGATGCGCTCCTTCAGGAACTGCTCCTGTTGCCCGTGACACAGCGCACCATGGGTGCTAGGGAAGAGCACCCTAGACTGGACTAGGGAAGGTGGCCCTAGTCCCACAGCCACGTTCAGTGCCGTGCGAATGACCCGCAACACACCAGGCCACCTCCACACCGCCATGCCAGGTCACCATGCAACGCCACACCAGGTCACCATGCAACGCCACACCAGGCCACTCCGCAACGCCACGCCAGGCCACTCCGCAACACCACACCACACCAGGCCACCCGCAACGCCACACCAGGCCACTCCGCAACGCCACACCAGGTCACACGCAACGCCACACCAGGTCACACGCAACGCCACACCAGGTCACACGCAACGCCACACCAGGTCACACGCAACGCCACACCAGGCCACTCCGCAACGCCACACCAGGTCACACGCAACGCCACACCAGGCCACTCCGCAACGCCACACCAGGTCACACGCAACGCCACACCAGGCCACTCCGCAACGCCACACCAGTTCACACGCAACGCCACACCAGGCCACTCCGCAACGCCACACCAGGCCACTCCGCAACGCCACACCAGGTCACACGCAACGCCACACCAGGTCACACGCAACGCCACACCAGGTCACACGCAACGCCACACCAGGCCACTCCGCAACACCACACCACACCAGGCCCCCCGCAACGCCACACCAGGCCACTCCGCAACGCCACACCAGGTCACACGCAACGCCACACCAGGCCACTCCGCAACGCCACACCAGGCCACCCGCAACGCCACACCAGGCCACTCCGCAACGCCACACCAGGTCACACGCAACGCCACACCAGGTCACACGCAACGCCACACCAGGTCACACGCAACGCCACACCAGGCCACTCCGCAACGCCACACCAGGCCACACGCAACGCCACACCAGGCCACTCCGCAACGCCACACCAGGCCACTCCGCAACGCCACACCAGGCCACTCCGCAACGCCACACCAGGCCACTCCGCAACTACACACCAGGCCACTCCGCAACGCCACACCACACCAGGCCACCCGCAACGCCACCCCAGGCCACTCCGCAACGCCACACCAGGTCACACGCAATGCCACACCAGGCCACTCCACAACGCCACACCAGGTCACACGCAACGCCACACCAGGCCACACGCAACGCCACACCAGGCCACTCCACAACGCCACACCAGGCCACCACGCACCGCCACACCAGGTCACACGCAACGCCACACCAGGCCACTCTACAACGCCACACCAGGTCACCACGCAACGCCACACCAGGCCACCCCGCAACCCTGGCAGCTGCTATAACTACTACACAAGGAACCCCCCCCAACAAAATTGATCTCTTTACATAATTTTATTGCAATTGTGCTACCAGTGACATCAAACTCAGCGGAACTTGCAGAACAGTATCACTGCGTGGTCGAGCATGGACCACAGGTGACAGAAATAGGTCTGAGATCTCTTCAAATCTCCACTTATCTACAGGAGAGAGCTGCTGCTGCACTCTGTTATGGATCTGTTCCATCACACATGGAAGGAAATAAAATAAAAATTCTCTCAGCTGAAATCGGCCCGACTAAATAGAAATCAAATGTAATTGAGTTTTTTACCGCAGTATTTTTTTTTACGAAACCGAGGTCATCAAATCATTACACAACCCGGTTTAATAACTGGCACTGAAATCCCGATTTTTAACCCAGGATTTTAGTGGAGTCTGCTCATTGCTCCGACCCAAACCAATCAACCACTTCAGGAGAAGTGTAATTTAATGTGGAGAGCCTTCAGCAAAGTTGAACTCAGCTATGAAAGTGTCTTAAAATGTTACTTAATCTAAATTACAAACATTAACACTTTATTATGGAGAATAACATTTATAGAAATGAATTTACTTTACTGTTTAGGTAAAGATTGTGTAATAACGTGAACCTCTTTGGGCTTTATTATGTTGTACAAAATTAAGATGCTTTTGTGCATTAGTTTGTTCGAGAAATAACCATGTTTCCTGTCCCCCTCTCTACCTTTAGTGTAACACACTACATGGGGTATGAATCTATGGAATGAACGAATATGCAGTAGCCCACAACCACCAATCAAGCAGCATGAACGTATATATGGTGCGCTTTAGAATCATCAATGAACGTGTACGTTCCGAATGTGTACGATGTAGATGGTGAACGTTCGTGGTTTAACAATAATTCCAATTTATAACTTGTACAGTATTCAATCACTCTCGAAGAGGACTCAGACGTGGAAGGAACCATTGGCAAGCAGGAAGGCAGCCATGCAATAGCCGGCACAATTAAAGTGTTTTACATGCGGGAGGAAACAGGAGTGCCCGGTGAGAATCCATGCGTGCGAGGGGGAAACGCTCTATCCCATAGAGATCGAAAAGGTGGAGTCCACGTTTTTGCTGTCACGCCTTCTCCTGGCGAGCCAGGGTCACGATTCCTCCACGCCAATGGGACGGAAGTTTCGCAACACGTGCGAGCCACCAAACCTTGCCCCCCCTCACCCAGTGTTGGATTACAGGCGTGAGCCGCCACCACCACCACTAGCCACCCGGCTGCCTGCGTGGAGGAGAGCAGTGTTCGGACTTACAAAGTTGGCCGAGTCCATGATGCCATCCTCCACGGGGTGTGTGCAGTCCAGCGTAAATTTCAGCACCAGCTTCTTCTTCTTGCCACCCTTGGTTTTCTGCACCCCTGGCTTCTTGTGAGAGCGCTGAATCAGAGGACCGAACGAGCATACACGTTAGGCACGTAATTATGAAAGGCCAAAAATTACTGTATTTAAAACATCAAGCCGTGTTAGGATTTAATCGAAATGCCCTTGCATCGACCACAAGACACATTATCAGTTTCCACGTGAACAATATCATGGCTGCACCGTGGGCCCATATACCTTATCAACTGCGATTTAATCGATTGCTTCGTTATTAGTCACATAAGAATGGCCCAAGTACTCTCTTCGTGAGGCAGAAGTGGGATAAAGTAAAGACTAAACACGATGCAGGGTGCCCGTGCCTCGGTCTTGCCTCGATACTCCACGGGCCTCGATGGCACCGGGACCATTTGGCCCGAAAAAAAAGGTTCAAAGCCACGTGGGTAAGCCGACACCACGAACTCGTCCAACTTAACTAGCACTTAGTTCAGCGACCGCACCTCCGATTAGCGCAGTTGGCTACGTACGGTGCGAGAGAAATTCAACATACTGTACATACAAAAAGTTTCCCTCAACTTAAAATGTCCATAACCAAACTCCGCCAAGCAATGTAAAGCAGCGTCACCTTCAAACGATCACTCAAGGCGCGCTGTACATGCGTAAGCACGGCCCTTAATCCACTGCTGCATGAGGGCCTTCCCGAGTCGCGCGGGTTATTCACAAGGCTTCGCCGGATTGGTACCTCGCGGACATAGAAGTACAGTACAGCGCAATGCGAGCTGCTGCATTGCCCTCTGCTGCCCTAAAACTTAACACGAAAGCGCGCCATCACAATCCGGTTGTGCGTGGTGGCATAGTGCCTCCATCGAGGCATTAACCATGCTCTGAGGCTTGGCGAGACCACCCGATTTAGTCAGCGGCCGCGTTGCCAATAAGCGGCTCCCAAATTACAAAGCGAAACTAATTCGAAGCCCCACATCGGAGAGCCTCGAAGGGCCCCGCGTCCACTGCCCGCGGAGCAGAGTGGAGCAACCTCGCCACACCGCGGTGCCACGCGGCCTACAGCCTGGGCCTACCACCTCCACTCGCATCAACCCCACGAGACGGGTCCCCCGCCGCCAACTCGCCCGGCCGCCTGCCCGGCCGCGTGAGGAATACTCTCCCGCTGGCTGTGCGAGCGAGTGCCGGGAGAGGCGGACGCGGGGGAAGAGAGAGGGAGACGACGCGAATTCTGGGACACCGCGGAGCGAGGAGACTCACTGCTGGCGCCATCTTCACCGGAGAGAGAGGGAGAGGGGAGGGGTGAGGGGGGTTCAGTGCGCATGCGCAGCGATCTGCCCCGGGTGGTTTAGCCCCTCCCCCCCCCAACATTCACTGGGAATGACGTCACGTCAGTGGGCGGATGACGTCACGCAGGTGAAGTCGGGTGGAATGACGTCATGTTTTAATTTGGTCGTGATTCTGTTGAGTTGGCAATTAACAAAATAACTCAGCACCCACGGTTTAAACCACACTGTGTGTGTCTTGAACGATAAAAAAACTTTATGATAGGCGACGTTTTGGGCAATGGCCCTTTACATTAAACTGTTGCTTTCCACAATGCCATAGATATGGAGTGTGAACTCAACCACAGCATTGCAATGGGGACCATTAAAAGGAGGAATGTAAAACATTTAATGGAATCTAAATGATTGGGCCCAGGAATTAATCACTTAATTAATTCCCCCCCCCCACCCGTTCCCCCTCCCCGAAGCTCCCTGGAGGTGAGTGAGTGACGTCACACAACCTCCACTTCTCGCGAGACTTTGCCTTCGGATAACAACGCAAAGACTCTCCCGAATCTCGCGAGAGTTGGAGGTTTGGTCGTAGTGGGGCTCAAGATACTCCCAAGATGGCGGAACGCGGAGGACGTTGAGACGAAGCGGCGGTTAAACAACAACAACATCAACAACTATCGGCAGCAGCAACAACAACAACAAACACGTACAGAGCAACGACAATCGTAAAGAACGTGGAGGTGAGGATAGGACTGACGAGGCGGGGAGAAAGGAGACATCGCGAATTGTGAGAGCGGCGACTCGGCTTGCCAGGTGAGGCCTACTCAAGGGCCGCGTCACTCAGCGCAACCGCCGACTAAGCTTAGACCCAGCAACAATATTGTAAACTTACACACAAGAACAACAACAATAACAGGCGCGATAAACTACTCATAACAGTGCGTAAAGTGGCCGCGCAATGCAGCAGTCGTGCTGCGTGAGTCAATGCATTAACTGTTAAGAAAATAACGTGTGTGCATCGTTATGTTATCATACGACACATTAATATCACTGTGTAACAACAAATATAAAAAAAATTTCGAAAGAACCAAAGAGTATAACAAAAATTGTTTCCTTTTCAATTGCTTATGCCTCAACAGTATAGAAAATGGTTAGTATTATTCACCACAAACTTTGCTTTTGTGTCCAGGACATAAAAGCAAAGTTAATCCGCTCCATTCATAACACTGTAACAAATGTATTATTGTATTGTTCCTGGGTAGTTAGTGTTATTTCCTCATTTATTATGCCTCAAAAGTACAGAAAATTGATATTATTCCCCACAAACTTTGCTTTTGTGACCAGGACAGTGATGTGAAATTTACCTATTTTAAATGAGAAAACGTGGCGTGCATTTGTGTCATTCCTTCACAATGTCCTGGTCACAAAAGCAAAGTTTGTGGGGAATAATAGCCATTTTCTATACTTTTGAGGCATAAGCAATTATAAAATAACACTCACTTCCCAGGAACAAAAATCGTGTTACATAGTGGAGTCGCGTTTGGTTTTTGTTTGTGTTTAAGATCGTTAACGATGACGAGCAGAGGGAGAAGGCCAGAAGGCAATGCCGGGGTTGCAAAGACATCTTGACCACCGGGAACGCGTTCAGTGATACGCGTTGGGAGTATTTGGCTGCTATAAATTTCCACATGATGATGATGATGAGCCAACTTCGTTGAGGCCAGGTCGCTTTCTTAAAAAGCGAATAGCTCATGGGCTTTACCTGGTGAAATTAAAAAAAAAGTTGTTTAGTCATTTGCTTATCTTTCCTATGCTTTGCACTCCTATCGTGTTTTAGTATTGGACATCTGAAAAGGAGCTTTAAATCTAATCGTTTTCCTCCAGTATAAATATTCTTATTCTGATATAGCTCAGAGTTAGTTGGCCCAGATAAAGCATTGATTTCACACCGAGTTATTTTGCGATGCAGCCTTGGCTTCCCTGAGCTGTGTTGGCTTCAAATCTGCTTACAATGATGACCTTTTGCCTAACGTGTAATCTGATTACTTTGAGATACGCGAACACAAATTGCAATCGGTTGACTTTGCATCATGCTCGCTCACGTGTATTCAAATTATTTTGAGCTGTGGGGGTAAACATGCAATACAATTACGTTGAGTTGTGCGTGACATGTCATCGGGTAACGATTGAGTTGTGCCGGCTAACACGTAACCTGTTTACCCCGTGCTATGTTACCTCATATGCTGTCTAATTCTGTTGATGTGTGCGTGTTTTACGTGCGAAATTATGCAGTTGAATCATGCTGGCAGACGTATATTGATTACTTTGAGCAATTATTGTTTGACATACATTTTAATTGCATTTAACGAAAGTATCTTTTTTATGCAATCGTATTTCTTTGATCATTACTAAACTTGTAATATATTTTGTTGATTTTAATTGCTTTGAGCTTTCGTAATTTTATATTTTTATCAGTCAATATGATAACATTGTGTATGCATGCATTTTGACTTGCATCTTGATTCAACTGAGCTATGCTTTACATGTAATCTGATTCACTGGAACTACGCTTGCAATATTAAAGAGGTGTTTGGCTTAACTTTCTATCTAACTTCATGGAGCTATGCTTGATTATCATTAAAATATGTTTGGAAGTCAGTCGTTGACGGTCATAGTGACGACAGAGAGACCTTACGATCATCAAGTGCCTGATGTGTTGGCTTTGCCACTTGTATTTTGGACATGGTGTGATGGTGAAACGAGCTACAGGAGTGTAGTTGCATTTAGCAGCTGCTTCTACCTGTGGTGGTGTTCACGTATACAATACGCGGGATTTCCCCATGGCGTGGCAGGACCCACACGGAGCCACGTACACCACTTCCAAGATGCCGGCCCTCCTGGAACGACCCAAGATGACCAAGACGATGGCCGTGGCGCTGCACAGGCACATCATGCGCGAACGGGAGCGCAAGCGCCAAGGTGAGTCATCACCCCTGCACCCTCCCACCCACCCCTGCACCCTCCCACCCACCCCTGCACCCTCCCACCCACCCCTGCACCCTCCCACCCACCCCTGCACCCTCCCACCCACCCCTGCACCCTCCCACCCACCCCTGCACCCTCCCACCCACCCCTGCACCCTCCCACCCACCCCTGCACCCTCCCACCCACCCCTGCACCCTCCCACCCACCCCTGCACCCTCCCACCCACCCCTGCACCCTCCCACCCACCCCTGCACCCTCCCACCCACCCCTGCACCCTCCCACCCACCCCTGCACCCTCCCACCCACCCCTGCACCCTCCCACCCACCCCTGCACCCTCCCACCCACCCCTGCACCCTCCCACCCACCCCTGCACCCTCCTACCCACCCACCACTGCACCCTTCCACCCACCACTCCTCGCCTCAAAAGCTAGAGCCCGGTGCCTTTCACCAAGTGGCTGACACCAGCACATGCATGCTTCCTTGTGCCTCCGCACCAATGTACCACTGGCGCCCAGTGCCAGCGCCCATTCCCAGGAACGTGTTGTGTGGTTTTTCAGAGGAAGAGGAGGCTGACAAGATCATGGAGCAGAAGATGAAGGAAGAGCAGCAGAGGCGGCGGAAGAAAGAGGAGGAAGAGCGCATGTCCCTGGAGGAGACGAGAGAGCAGGTGTGTGTCTGGCACGAGAGAGAGCGGGATGAGAGTTAGCGAATGAGCGGGCGAGTGAGCGAATGAGAGCGGGATGAGAGTTAGCGAATGAGAGGGGGAGTGAGCGAATGAGAGCGGGATGAGAGTTAGCGAATGAGAGGGGGAGTGAGCGAATGAGAGCGGAATGAGAGTTAGCGAATGAGAGGGAGAGTGAGCGAATGAGAGCGGGATGAGAGTTAGCGAATGAGAGCGGGATGAGAGTTAGCGAATGAGAGCGGGATGAGAGTTAGCGAATGAGAGGGGGAGTGAGCGTCCTGAAAGAGTGTTGATTCAGCCACAGTCAACTGGACTCGTTGTGCCCTGACCAAATGCATTTAATGCTTTAAAAATGTGTAAATCCTCTAATGTTATGCTATTGGCGTCGTGTAATAAGGTGAATAATCCATTTAGATAATCTAGCAGAGCAGTGCATGCAAGCTTTTGAGCGACTCGCTGAAATGGACATCACTGAACTACTTCTAAGATCCCTGTAAGTGGCCCTTGGTCCACATAGAGGGCAGCACCTTCCTTGCACGCTGCTGTGTGTTAGTTGCATGACTGACAAACTGATCGTTTTCATTTTCAGAGGTGTCATTCAGTCGGATTTAAAGTGTTTTTTTTTTCAGTCGATGACTGGCCCAAGATCATCAGCTCTCCACTTGAGAACCTAGTTTAATCTCATGGCTGCTGCCTGAATTGCATCCCAGGTCAAAGCAGTACCAGCTTGGTGTTCTGACCTCTAAGCCGCATGGCCACCTATGCATGTTTTTCATCATCACGCCGTTGTGAGTTGCTGGGTAACGTGAACGCCACGTTACACTGCACAGCATGAAACAGCAATGGGTGCATGCCACGTGATGCATGACATCACTTCTATTTTCACTGACGCATGATATGAGGGGTGCATGAGGCAGCTGCAATCTGTGCAGCAGAGAGGCATGCAACAATGTTACCTTTTATATGACCTCTTATGGATTGCGATAGTATGCTATCAAGCAATTTATTCAGTTAAATTTGGGTCGGCAGCTATTGAATCTCAAATACTGATACGCATGTGTCAGTGTATTAATGACTCGTTAAGCTCATGAAATAAGTTTTGAATCGCTTGTGTAAATTTTTTTCTTCGATTCATGAATTTTGGAAGGGATTCACGTGAACTGTTCAGCCACTAGAGGACATTACTATTCATCACAATATAAAAATAAACAATTGATTCCTGAATAAAATCGTGACCTGAATTGCGATGCGGGGAGTAAATTGTTACACCGCTACAACAATGTAAGCTGCCTGTTGTAATGGAGAGACTGACCAGATTTGTGAAACCGCACCTCCACAATGAGACTCACTCCCAAATAGAGCTGGGACAGTTGATTAATCGACTAAAATTGTAATCGACTACTTGTTTTGTGGTCGATTACCCGGGCTCCATTAAAACTGGCGGTCGCCCTGACATCCTGCCTCCCGAAGGAGGGAAACCCCCTACAAGCCACGCCCAGCGTGACACTGCTGATGATGCTGATGACGTCCCAAGCCCCGCCCACCACCTCCCGTCCAGCAGTACACGTGGGAACAGAGGTGATACTTTTCATTCAATTGTTTTCATTGTTACCTGATTGGTCGAGTGACTCAAACCGATAATCGGTAGAGTAATCAATTACTTAGATAATCAGAGAGCCCAGCTCTATACTCCAAATATATGCCTTAATGTGACGATGTTTTATCTGGGCCTCCCTTGTAACAGAGGAGATGGATCAGTGTTCTTTCAACCGATTGATGCTTGACACTGCTGACATACCACTAAGTGTTATGTAAGTGTTGGTGTAATAATGTTCTAAATATATCTGGGAGAACACCAATGTCTGGCCTGTTCCATATTATAATTAGTGTTGTGTATGTGGGAGGAATCTGGGGTGGGGAATAAAAACTCAAATGCCACGGGTTTAGCAACCCACTTTCTATAATGCCATATCCTGGCCACATTACGGGCCTAGCAGCTTTGGAAGTTTCACAAATCTGTGTGAGCCATGAGCCCTTGCCGCGGCCAAGGTGCTGGATTTCCTGTGTGCACCACCGTCCCCGGCTGTTGGTGTTAACACGATTAGCGTTAGGGCATGTAACGATTCACCCCTTCCCCAATTAAACAAATTCTCACCACTGGGACTCGCAATTCGATAATTTTGTGTGTTTTTGTGACTTCTACTTTATATCGTTTGTCTCATTTCTTGCGTCTTGTTCATAAAATATTTTTTAAATATAATTTCTATATAAATACATAAACAATCGATAATTATACGCACAATTTGATGCACGTACAGCGAGCACAACATTCAAGTTTATTGAGGTAATATGCGAATCGTGAGATGCCTAACGTCACGTCATTGCGGGAATTGTAGATCGCCAAACTGGAGGAGAAGCTGCAGGCCCTGCAGGATGAGAAGCACCAGCTCTTCCTGCAGCTCAAGAAGGTGCTCAATGAGGAGGACAAGCGGCGAGCCAAGATCAAGGAACAGAAGTGAGGGCCGCCCCTCCTGCCACAGCCTACACGCTGCGCACTATAAACTATATTTTATTTTAGCAGCTAAGCCCCATTGAGCTATATAGCTCCTTGTCAGAAGCGACCTTGCCACAAATGATCACTCAACGAAGTGGCTTATCACATGGAAATTTATAGCAGCCAAAAACTCTAAATGTGTGTCGTTCTAAACGTGGAGGGAAAAACCGGAGTACCTGGAGAAAAATCCACGCGATTACAGGGAGAACATGCAAACTCCAAATCCACAACAGGCATCAGGGCCGGGATCGAACCCATGACCTGTATACCAGGCGAGGTAGTTAATATCTCGCCACCGTGGCACACACACCACAGCATTAGTCCGTTGTTCACACGAGAAGAGTCCCAACTCTTCTCAAGAGGATTCTGCTTCGGATTCTGGGTCAATCCTGCACAAGGAAGCGGGCGACAATTCCATTGCGAGTTACATCTCGCTGCGTATTTACCAGCTGTCTGTGACTCGGCGGCAGAGCCAGCAGGTTGTGAGCTCATATCCTGGTTGTATGTATTTGTGTTTTGAACTTCTTTCGCACCGTACGTAGCCAAACTGTGCTAATCGGTAGGCGGGTTCACTGGGCCCATCGTCTCTCGGGGTTCGATGAAATGACCACTCCGGGGAAACCTCCGTGGCACTGTCTGTCGGCATTGCGCTTTTCTCACCGCGCCTCGTTCCCCCATTCCGCAGCGAGCTGGCGGCACTGAGCCAGCAGCCGTACCCAGCGGGCATGACGGTTCACCCTGGCTCGCACCTCATCATGCACGGTGAGTGGAACCAGCGACGCGACGTGGGATGCGCAGCTGTACGCGTTGTACCATCGCTGCAGTGAGCTGTTGTCGTGTGCAAGTGGAGAGCAGCAAGTGCATGAGCGCACGTGGTAGTCTGTTTGCACGTTTGTTTTGCATGACACGTGTTCCCGTTTGCATGTGTGTTTACACGTTCTTGTGTGTGTGCATGTGCTTGCGTATGCTTCTGTGCGTGTGTCCCCACGTTTGTGTGTGTGTTAAGTGCTCACTAACGGCACTTGACCCAACAGTCAGTACAGGCTATGGGGAGATCTTTGTGTGTTTTAATGTGTGTTTGCATGCGTACATGTGTTTTGTGTGGTTGTGTATTTGTTTGCACGTGTTTTTGCTTATGCGCTTGTGTTTACTTATGCACGCGTGTCTGTTTGCCTGCGAATTGCGTGTGTGTTGGCGCGTCTGTGCAGGAAGCCACATCTCACCAAGCCGAGCGCACGGGCTGCTGGGAGATCGGCCAAAGAACCAACTTTACAGCCACACCACCATCCCGGTACGGTACGGGCCGAGGAAGGTGCGCAACCCAAAAACTAAAGGGCTTTTATCCTGTATACACATGCCTTGGGTCGCCGAGGCTGTGCGTTCCAGGCTGTAAGACGCCGGGCTTCTCTTCACGAGCCATCACAGTCCAGCGTCGTTATTATGCTTTTCTATTGGACGCTAAACAATTTAAAGCGCGCGTCAATTTATCCGTTACCGTACATTCAAAACACCCGCACTCGGGGAGCCTAATTTACAGCATGAGACTGCTTGTGCTTTGCGAAGTGGCATTTGAGACGTTAAGTTTAAGTTATTGTTTTCCCCCAATGCAGGGAAGGGCCTACCCAAGCCAGACAACGTTTACGTCAAGCCAGCCCGAACACGCACATTTTCAAACGAGCCAATCGGGGCACAGCTCCTACGCCAGCAGCCAATCACAGCACAGCGTGCCCTACACGGGTGGGCAGGCTGTCCCTGCCACCTACCCAGCCGGCTCCCAGCCAATCAGAGGTGAGCGTGCGTGTGTTGTTACGCGTGTAATTGCAACAGTGTGTGTGCCTGTTACATCGGAGTGCAGTGTTGCCAATGTACGAAAGTACTCACGTTTGTACAATCATTTCGACCCTTGTCGTGTAATTGTGAGGGGCCAAAATATACGATATTTACTCATCGTACATTCCAACACACCCGCCCAGAGCATTCCTGCATTGGTTGCCTTGTGTTATGTAGAGGATATTGATTCTTGTTTGGAACTTAGCTTGAAGTAAAAAAAAATATTTGCCATTTGCGGCAAAATAATTGTATATTAAGGATGCATTGGCGTGGTTTTTTTCGTATGATAATTTTTCCAAGAAATACGATATAATCCTGGAGCTGAGAAACGACAATGAAATCTCCAGATGTGGCAACACTGCCGTTTCGCAAAGACCCCTTTCCTACCCATCCTGCCCTAACCCTTAAATCCTGGTTCATGAACAACTCAAGTAAAGCTCATTGTTTTGTTCGCTGGTAAACCTGTGCCTGAGCAAGGAAGGACCCGAGTTCGATTGCCTACTCTTGACACCTTTCTGTGTGGAGTTTGTACATTCTCCCCGTGTTCTATATGGGTTTACTCCGCATGCTCCGGTTTATTCCCAACGCTAAAAAGAACATCTACAATCACCTGCAAATTAGTAAATTGGCATCGCACAGCGGCAACATCGCTCTCGACTGTGCAAAATTATCGGGGAGGCTTTCCAAGGTAAACGCAGTCGTAAAACGAGAAGTAATAATGAGCGCACTTAACAGTGAGTGGAAGTTGCGATGGTCACGATAATATGAATGCTGAGCATCGAGCAAAAGTATTATTTTCCCTTCCCCCCCCCCCCCCATTGCAGGGGCGTCTGCCTTCCAGTCCTACCCTCCCTACGTGTCCCACCAGCAGACGGGATATACCGTGCACACCCAGTTCCCTCCCCAGCAAGGTGTGACCCTGCCTGCGCCTCTCGTAGCCACGCATGGGCGCACTCACTCGTTCGCTCATTCGCGCGCGGACTCAAGTACAGACACGCACAAACATCCCACGCACACTCGCACGCTCCACGACGAAGAGACTGCCCGTTGAGGTTTAACGGGGTGGCACGTTGGTAACGCTCGTGGCTCACATCGAGCAGGACCTGGGTTCAATTCCAGACTCGGTCGCATCTTCGCGTGTGGAGTTTGCATGTTCTCACCCGATTCTGCACGGGTTTCCTTGAGGTTCTCTGGTTTCCTCCCATGGCTAAAACAAAACATTCAATACAACTGGTATGGGGCAAACATCCCATTGCTGAGAAATGTACCTTCACATTTCTTAATTGGGTCTACACATAGCAGCAACATCGCCCTGTACTTGACAGGAACTTCCTGAAATGTCTTGAGACTTGGTGGTTTATGTTTTATCCCCGCCACTATTACCCTGGATAATGGAGAGTTGACTTGGTCGCGAGCGTAAGAAGCGATGCAACAGTACAGGCCGAGTGCCCAGTGCCTACACCGCGCACCCGACGCGCAAACGCCAGTGGCGATCATGACAACAGCGCCCCTGTGGCTGAGCCGTGTGTGCGTGTGTACGTGTGCGATGGGCAGGGTACCTAGCGCCAGCGACAAGCATGCCCCTGCAGAAGCAGCTGGAGCACGCCAACCAGCAGTCGGGATTCTCAGACGCGGTGAGCCAGCGCCAGCCACGTCCCCTTCTCGCCCATTTCCCATTTACCCGCGTTTGTGAGCGCACGTTCTCACGCGACTCCCCCCCCCCCCCCCCCCCCCGTCTGTGCGTAGGCGTCGCTGCGATCGCTGCACCCGCAGTCGATGCACGCAGGACAGACGCTGCTGCAGCCGACCCAGCTGCAGGTGTCCCTGCCGCCCGCCAAGGTGCAGTGCGCCCGTGAACACGCGCAAAAACTGCCGCTCTTGCATGAGGCGAGCTGCTTGCCCGTAAGAGGTGGTAATGAATGCGTGTGTGCGCGCATTGCTTTTTGTAATTTCCAGTCCGGCATGATTTACCCCCATCAGACGAGGCCCGCCTCTCCCGGGGCCTTCCAGCACAGCAGCACACCCCCACAGCCGTCGCACTCGGTGAGTCTCGGCATTGTGTACGCACACTAAGAGTTTGGCGGGATTGTGTTCATCGCATACACGAACATTCCACAATCTGACAGTCATATCAGGGCAACCCATAGCACCTGGGCCTGTCCCGTGACCTCCTGTTGGCAGCAAGCGTGAAAGCACACCTAGCCTGGCACGAGCGCTGTGGTAACACCACCGTCAGTTTGTAGTGAATGATGGCTGTTGCATGCACGAGAGAGCCTGCATGTGTGTGGGGAGTCGTGCAGTTAGAAGTCGTGCAGTTGTTCGCGCACTTTGCTACTCAGAAACCCGAGTTCGATTCCCGTCCGTGGCCATCACCAGTAACTGTTATATTGACCGGGTCTGGGTCTCCCCGAGCTGGAGACCTGGGTGTGGTGTGTAAACAGCACCACCAGGGAGATGGGCAGCCGGGCATGGTGCTGGCAACCTACAACGGCGTGTGCTGTGCTGGCTCTCACCAGTGCTCGCGAGCAGCACTTGCTTCTATCGTCTGTTAAGGCTATGGGGGGGGGGGGAATGTTTGTCTCGGTATGTTGGGCAGGCCACGTTCTCTCCGGCATCCCAGCAGCAACAACAACAGCAGCAGCAACAACAGCAGCAACAACAACAGCAGCAGCAGACCCAACGGCACCACTTCATCCAGCACGGCCAGACTCACCGCTACTACAAGTGAGCCACCAATCAACAAGCAGCAGCAGCAACCTCGAGAAACCGCTCCTCTCCGCCGACGGCCCCACCACAAGCTACGCCATCGGACCAGGGGGAAGGGGGGACAGTCATCGTCGCCAAAAATCCCACTCAATTTGCAAACGGATAAGTTAGGGGGTCGTTTTGTCTTTGGAAATGTGCGATTGCCAACCTTGCCCTGTAATTGACACCGACCCATCCCATGATGCAATCTTCAGTTTTTCTTTCGTAAGCAATTGTAAAAAACATTTTTACAGAAACTTTTTCAGGCTTTGGCAGCCGTTTACACAGTGGCTAAACTATGATTTTTACTGCATTAAAAATTTTAGTATTAAAGAGAACCTGTAAGATAGTGATGGCTTAGTTTGTAGCATTACCTTAGAAAGTACTTTTCTCTTAAGTTAATTTGAATCAATTTCCGTTTTGCTTTGTTGCAGAGCTGATTATATATCACCCACTTTATTGTGGACAAAAAATAAAACGTGCACAAGCTGTCCGTGGTTGACTCGTTTATTACACCTACAGTAATTCCCCCCCACCCACGTCATCGAGACAAACGTTTTGTAAACCCACAGGACACACCAACACCCAGCAGCGATGAAGCCATCGTGGTCAACCCCCCCCCCCCCCAAAACGCACCCTATGTCCCACACCTATCAGCCAGGCAGGCCCTGAGCAGCTGGACAGTGGGTGGGGGGTGGGGGTTGGGGGGGGAACCTGACCAGGCGAAGCAGCACAATCCCTGACACGTGGTCGCTATTGCTCTTTCCATCCGTGTCCCCCCCCTCCCGGTGAAACAGCGTGGGATGGGGGGGGGGGGGAGACATTCAGCAGAGGTGGCAATTGGTTAGCCACTTGACAATGCAACACTTAATATTAAAGTCAATTCGTTGTACTACACACAAGTGCTTCATGGACATCGCACGCACAACGACTAAGTCACAAAATAAATTCTCGAATAGTGTTGCCAAGATGAATTGTTCAATGCCTGGTAGGTTAACCAGCCGCCAACCAATTACCAATGGGTCCGGCCCACCTCGTGAGCTCATTAGCAGCATATTTCCACAACACCACTGCAAATAAGTAATTGGACAGCACCGATTAATTAAGAGTAATCAGGTATTTTAAAATAAATTATGAAATGCTTTAGTTTGTCACAGTTCCCTTGCTTGTGGCTCAGACATGATCAGACGTTAAACACAAAACAGCAGCGACTTTTGGGGTAGGTAGCAGCTTTCAATACGCATAGGGCCGGGAGCAATGCGGCCCTCAAACCAAGATCTCAGCCAAAATTCCACCTTGGTGACTTGCCCATGAGTGCTGGCACACGTTAATTAAAGTCACAGCCTCTCTGGGTGCAGGCACGCAGGAATTCCAACCTGTAGTTCGCCCATCCCACCTTTGAACGTTTAATTGCATTTCCACCATTTATATCCCGACCGTGTAATTGTTGCAATGTCATTAGACTCGGTTCTCCATTTGGATCTGTTGCAGAGATGGCGCAACCAATGTGGACTTTCAAGAATGGCCCCATAGAAGTGGACAGTGCAGCCCTCCCTGGCCCACAGTGGAGGGCAGCACTTTCCCACCCGCTCTGCCATGAGAGTCATTTTGGTCGCACGAGTCAAAAATATGTTTTTTTTTATTCAATAGAGCTGGAATTTCGCCAAATTACGTGCAGAACCAAATGTAATGCAATGGGGTTTTTTCTGTCCAGTCATAGGTGACCGGACATCAACTCGCGATACATCCAATAATGTAGGGCGGTCTTAAATCTAGAAACCCAGTGAGTATTCCTCCTGCCAGGGCTGCAGACAGAAAATCCATGACTGACAGACCGCGGCAATATCAACACAGCAGACTTGACCAGCCAATCACACAGTCCCCCACGTGACCCGCGGGGGGGGGGGGGGGGGGGGCAAATCAAAGTGCAGCTTTGCAGCGCCGCCTCCCTTGTGACGTGCAATGGGACAATTGGCGCGCAGACACACGCACGCAGACACGTGAACACCGCAATACAGCGCAATAGAGACGCAACGCTCAAGCGAAAGGGGGCCATGACAGTGCAGGAGGTAGGGGATAATAAGAGCTGGATAATGGGTAGCTGGGTGTCAAATTGGATTCGATGAAGATCAGCAAGAGGCCTTGTACTGGTGGCTAGTTACTAAGGAGGGGCTGGTACTACGAAGGACACGAGGTGAGTCGGGGGTTGAGAATCATCGTTTTTCAATACCCCCCCCCCCCGCCTGCACCTCAATTCACTTCCTCTTCGTTGAATTGTTACGTGGATAGATTAATGGGTGCTAGGTCTGGGCAGCGAACGCTTTAACTGCCCAAGAGTCCCACACTCCATACTCGGCTATTTAACTTAACCTAGTGTCCGTCGTAGTTTCTGGTTAACTCGTTGGGTAGGTTGGGTTCATGGCCAGTGGGAGGACAGTCGGAGTGGGTGGCTGGTTGGCAAGTTTGCTAATTAGGATTCGGACCAGTGGGATGGCCGGTACTGGTGGACTTATTGGCGAATTTGGGTTCGGGCAGGACTGGAACTTGGTTGCACCGTGTGCCCTGCATCCTCTTCGCCCCACCTCCCCACCACCCGTCTCCTGCCACCCCTTCGACTACCGATCGCTTTCCCATTGCGGGTGTGGTGGGGGCTGGCGACGTCACAGCAGGCCGGCGTCGCGCAGCTCGGTGGTGATCTCGAGCGCCAGGGCACGTGCGTACACGCGCAGTGTCCAGAACACGGTGAGAAAGTCCTGCGTGCTGAAGAGCGTGTCGGTGAGCGCAAAGCCCAGCGTGGACGGGATGAAGCCGCGGCCGTACTCCACCATCCATGTGCCGGCCGTCCACTGCACGGACGTTGCCTCGCCCGCGCTGTGCACGATCGTGTCGCCTGGGGGCAGGCGCAACGTGGGGGGGGAGGGCACGTGACGACAGTTGATAGGGCATGCAACAAAATAAATGTGGGCAAGAGGACTCCCTTCACATTTCTCACAACCGGAGATTTTTTTCCAGCACAATGCAAGCCTTCGTGGTAGAGAATGGTCCAGAAGCGGATATCACCTAACTAGTCGTGAGATCGCTTTAAATCCCTTCCAGTGCGCACTGACACCTGCCGACTCACGCCTCCTGCTGCAGAATAATGTGTTGTTGCATGACAACCAAACTGATCATTTTCATCCCTAGAGCTGCACTTCAGCCAAATTGAGTGCAGAAACAAATTTAATCCGACGATTTCCGTGTGTGTAGTCATTGGTGACCGTGACCGTTAAATTCTCCGCCGCACTTGAGAACACGGCTTAATCAGTGGATGTGAACCTCGGGGATGACGGCGTGGGGGGGGGGGCGACGATTGGCTCACCTGGGTAGAACACCTCGCTCTTCGTGGTGCCCTCCTTCCACTGGCGGAAGGTCCCTGATATGATCGTGTCAGAGATGTTCGCCCAGTAGCGGCCTGCACCACCACCACACACCGAGACGGAGCGTTTTCCGCGAGCAGCAACAAGCGATACAAACGACACAGATTCTTATTTCACCAGGTAAGGCCCACTGAGCTGTGTAGCTCTTTGTCACAAGCGACCTGGCTGTCACAAATGATAGCCCAATGAATTGGCTTATGTGGAAATATATAGCAGCCAAACAATCTCAACGCATATTCTCGTGACGCCCAGAGGCACGGTGACGGCGCAAGGAGAGGGGGGGCACTGTATGGCTGGGGCAGAGCTCGTGACCAGATGTAAAGCGATTAGTCGATTAAAATCGATTGTTGTACTCGTGATACATGCACAGATTCCTGTCTGTACAAACAAATTATATATAAATTGGGATGGTGTGGTGGAGTAGCGGTTAGTGCGACGATTCCTGGCCATGGTTAACATTGGTGGCAAATGATATCAGAACCAGTTCTGAGCAGTATGGTGCATACGCAGATGACATGCAAAGGATAAGTTGAAGACAATGAATCAAATAACAGAAATAAGACAATACAACGACACGAACGAGACGATTCAAATGGGAAGCGATCCCAATGAATCGGATGGAATCCTATGGGGTACCATGCCGAGTGTCACTCGAAATTTCTAATCGAAATTAAACCAATTGGCTGACCACTACGTTGTCCACTCCGTCAGCGCCCCCAGTGAGACACGGTGGGGTCCGCTGAAGGACAGGGACAGGCGCGCTCCGAGTGACGCGGGGGACGCCACGTGCCGTGCGTTAAGACGTGGACGGTGATTTATCGGTGTCATTTTTGTCTCTGGGCTGCCTCATTCATCCCGCACGACAGGCGACCTCGACTCGGGTTGCGTGGGGGGGGGATGAAGCGGGGGGGTATGGGGGATGTCGTCGCTGGAGGAGGTGGTGATGAAGGTCACGGAAGCAGCAAGAAACGATCTTGTTAGACATGTCTAAACATGTTTCTTTTGTTACTTGTCTTTGGCCGGCTTGGTGATCGAGGTCACTCTTTGGAAATAAGACTGCCCTGTACTCGTGTGTTCTTACCTGGGTCAAAAAAATTACCTTGAAACTTGTACCCCTGTCTGTGCTGTCACCTGTCCTGTCCCCTTCGTATTGTGTCCTATCTGTATAGTTTGTCTCGTCCCGAGTGTCTCATTTTATAATCGTCTCACCTGCATTGTCTGTCTCGTCAACATCATCTGTTCCGCTCGTTTGTTCAGGTATAATCGGCCTCGACAAGACGTGACCGATAGTCGCAAGCATGCAAAACAACGTACGGGTTGGGGGGGGGGATGGAGGTGGCACGTTGGCGATCTGGGAGGGTTGAGAGTCGTACCGGAGTGCCCGGAAGTATCGACCGCCGTGCCGAAGAGCAGCACGTACTCGGTGAGGGATGCGTGCAGGAGGTACATGGCGCCCATCCAACCGCCCGCGTTTACAAACACCCACTGCATCTCGCTGTCGGGCAGCACGTGCCCCGGATGCGTCCGCCGCAGCTCCGCCACAACCTTTCCGAACGCCGCGTCGTGGTCCAGTCCTGCCGGAGGGGTGGGGGAGGTCATGGGTCACCGCACTTCCTTCTGCTGCACTCCTCGCAACGCCGTGCCAAGGACGTCCCCGACGAGCCCCGGTGGTCACCCACCCAGGTACTCGCCAGGCTCGCACGCCGCTTTGCTTCCCAGCTGCGATGACATCCGGCGCATTCGGAGCAATTTGGATGTCTCATTATTGTTGATACTATTAAACTGAAGCCAGACTGGGGAAATAGAGTCGATGTACTCTATTGCACGGGATCATCAGAATTTTGCTGAAGTCACTGCCTATGTCTGTCATGAACGCGGTTGTCTCCAAACATCTGGTAGTCGACCAGCCGCGACGTAGGAACAGTCCCGCACCGCACGCGTATATAATCATGTACAGCAAGTCCTCATTTAAAACAGAAGATGCATTCCTAAAAAGTGCCTCGTGAAGCGAAAAACGCATTCAGCAAAAACTATTTCCCCATGAACAATGTAACGATAATGTTTGGCGAGATACAAAGTACTACGCACACAAAGTAAGATGGTGGGACAAATAAGTGAGGGTATGCCACCGCGTTACTGTATCGTACCGCTCAGCCGCGCAGCCCAAGAAAGATCGTCGTTGACCACTCGGAAACCGCGTTATAACGGTCCACGTTCCTCGTTAGAATGGTGCGTGGCCTGCGTTATAACGAGGTGTGCATTCTGCGTAAAGTGTTCCCAAATGGGAAAAATGCGTTGGAGCGAAAACGCGTTGCAGTGTGTACACCACGCGTTAAGCGAGGACTTTGTTCATTCAGCCAATTCACCCGTGGTGTCTAAAGCCAGCGGCTGGATTTACAACTTAGACATCGATTTGTAGTTTCTACTCAATGCATATCCGTACAAGAAATGAAGGAGCGTGTTAAAGGAAATTAAACCTTGCTGGCGAAGGCGTGTGGCTTTCACGTATAAATGTCATCTATATTTAAACGTATCGATTGCACCATAATAATCGGTAGTAATCCATGTATAACAATGACATTCAGTTGTGTAGTGTTGTCATAACTCACCAAGGCAATTTTGCAAATTAGGCAACCTCACAGTCAACATTTAAAAATTTACGTTATAATCCACACGGTGTCATTGTCGTTTGTAAAAAAAGATATGATGGAATAAATCAGAAATTATTGAATGGCTTGACACAGCCGTGACAATGACGACACAATCACCACCATCATTCCAGCATGGAAGGGGAAGTCATTTTGTCAGAGTACATTCGACAAACATTGAATTGCATTCCCAAATGGCCAAATAAATAAGCCACTTCAGGATTACATTAAAGCTTTCCCGCCCACATAATAGTGTCTGAGATGTTCGTCTAACGTCGTGAAAGGGGCCGTCCATAAATGACGTCACGCACCTGGGGGGGGGTCAGGCATTTGTGACGATGTGTGACGGGGGGGGGGGTTGAGAAATGTGACGTCACATCAAAATGCGCAACTTTAAATAAATATAGACAACATGTTCTACTTAATTAAATAAGACTTTTTTTTATAAATGTTTTCTCCTACATCAGAGTGCAGCGCCACATTAAATACGCACTACAATGGCAATAGTTTAAAGCGATTTGAAGCATGTTTTATTTTCTTTGGGGGGGGGGGCAGAGCTTTGTGACGCCATATTTAAGGGGGGGTCTGACTTTTTGTGACGCCGTGTGACGAGGGGGGGGGGGGTCAAAAATCGTCCAAAATCGCGTGACGTCATTTACGAACGGCCCCAAAGTGCCTTTCAAGCAAAAGTACAATCAACGGAACAAGAAACGGTGCGTTACACATCCGATCTCTGCAACAATCCCCTGCAACAGAACAAATTCGCCTTGGCGCACACGCATCAAGGCGCACTCCTGGCTGAGATTGATGCACCCCGCGTGTTCGCAGATTCCGTGGACCAAGGTCAACCTCCCCGGCTGTTTGAGTCGTCGGCTCCTCCACGAATGAAGCTCGCAATTCTACACGGGTGATCTGGTGGATCATTAACCAACAGCTTTCAAGAGGCAACGTGGCACTGCACATGGGGTTCAAGGGCAGGTGTTCAAAACAGAGCGCAGTCGGGTGGCCGAGTGGCTCACGGGTCTCAAGCATTGAGAGCTCGCACCGCTTAGAGCTGGGGTCGAATCCAGATTAAACCGGCTTCTCAAGTGCAGCGAGTTTGATAATCTCAGTCTGAGTCACAGAAGACCGAGTACAAAAACACACCCATCACATCGCACTCGGTTCCACCAAATTGAATAATTACCTACTGTGTGAGAGAGAATTACAAATGTTGGCTTAGCAGAGAGAGTGGGTAAGTACTGCCACCCGATTGTGTAAATCAGAGAACAATGGAAGGGGGACACGAGGAGTCGACTATAAACAATTTATTTCTAGATTTGAAGCTCTCGTGACTGCAAGGATTCATATTCTTAGGTTTTTTCGGTAAAGTCACGTAGGTAAAACATCAAAATTAATAAAAATAAAATAAAGATCACGACGTTTCGGAGGCAACACAAGTCTCCGTCATCAGGTGGGACCGTCACAGCCAGATTAGCTGCATCAAGTGAGGCAATGATTCAAGATGTAATCCCTTAACAAGCAAGTTGAGGGGGAGGAGAGGGGGGGGGGGGAGCTCATCATATAAACAATTTTTCAGAAGCGACTTGGCCACAAATGATAGCCCAATTAAGTGGCTTATCGCGAGTAAATGTATCGCTGCTAAATACTCTAAACGCGTGAACAAACCGGAGGATCCGAGAACAATCCACGCGACCACGGGGGAGATGCATGCAGCATCCAAATACCAAATATACAGCAGCAACAGGCGTCAGGGTCAGGATCGAACCCACAACCTCCTGTATACCAGGCGAGGTAGTTAACATCTCACCAACGTGGCCCCGCTTTTGTTGGGTCCTCGCAACTGCTCATCAAGATTTCCGAATGGATTCTTCATCTCGTGAGATGACAACACAAGACGGGATGCCGCCACTAAAAACGTGAACGCACTCTGCAGTTAATTCAACACACGCGCATTGTGCCCTTTGCGTTGAACCGGGATCTTGCGAAAACAAACGCAAGGGCATTGCCTTCCAAATATATTTACAAGATCATTTAGACGCTGGGCTTATTAACCCCTAAGTGAAACAAAGGTCCGCAACCCCCGAGACACTGGAGGTATGGATGGGGGGGTCCAAACCCCGGGCGGAGTGACCCCGTGCCGGGCCTCGCGGCTCCGCCGCTCCCGGTGCCGCCCTGTCCGGCAGAGAATCTAAGCGAGGTCGAGGCTGAGAGAGCGGCCTACCCTCCCGCCCGCTCTCGGGAGTCGCGCCCGCGCCGCCGCTCACCCGCATATTTCTTTGCCACCCTCGCCACCTCTTCGGGCTCGAAGACGTAGCGCTTCGTGCGCAGCCACGAGCCGACGAGGGGCACGGAGAGGGCGACGAGGAGCACGGAACCGGCGAGCAGCCACGGCAGCGCCCTCACCAAGGCGCCCATCGTCACTCGAGTCTCTGTCTCTCTCTGCTCGCTCCAGTCTCTTCCTCTTCCGGAAGATCGCCACCGTTCATTCATTCGCGGCCTGCTCAGCCGCACCAATCGAACGCGGCCCACGTCTTCTGGAAGATTCTTCCGGAAGACAACTTCCGTCGTGTTCGCCTGTCGCTTCCAATCTTCTGGAAGATTCTTCCGGAAGACAACTTCCGTCGAGTTCGTCTGTCGCTTCTAATCTTCCGGAAGAGTCTTCCGGAAGACAACTTCTGTCGTGTTCGCCTGACGCTTCCCATCTTCCGGAAGACTCTTCCGGAAGACAACTTCCGTCGTGTTCGCCTGACGCTTCCAATCTTCCGGAAGATTCTTCCGGAAGACAACTTCCGTCGTGTTCGCCTGTCGCTTCCAATCTTCCGGAAGAGTCTTCCGGAAGACAACTTCCGTCGTGTTCGCCTGTCGCTTCCAATCTTCCGGAAGAGTCTTCCGGAAGACAACTTCCGTCGTGTTCGCCTGTCGCTTCCAATCTTCCGGAAGAGTCTTCCGGAAGACAACTTCCGTCGTGTTCGCCTGTCGCTTCCAATCTTCCGGAAGAGTCTTCCGGAAGACAACTTCCGTCGTGTTCGCCTGTCGCTTCCAATCTTCCGGAAGAGTCTTCCGGAAGACAACTTCCGTCGTGTTCGCCTGTCGCTTCCAATCTTCCGGAAGAGTCTTCCGGAAGACAACTTCCGTCGTGTTCGCCTGACGCTTCCAATCTTCCGGAAGAGTCTTCCGGAAGACAACTTCCGCCGTGTTCGCCTGACGCTTCCAATCTTCCGGAAGAGTCTTCCGGAAGACAACTTCCGCCGTGTTCGCCTGACGCTTCCAATCTTCCGGAAGAGTCTTCCGGAAGACAACTTCCGCCGTGTTCGCCTGTCGCTTCCAATCTTCCGGAAGAGTCTTCCGGAAGACAACTTCTGTCGTGTTCGCCTGACGCTTCCAATCTTCCGGAAGAGTCTTCCGGAAGACAACTTCCGCCGTGTTCGCCTGACGCTTCCAATCTTCCGGAAGAGTCTTCCGGAAGACAACTTCCGCCGTGTTCGCCTGACGCTTCCAATCTTCCGGAAGAGTCTTCCGGAAGACAACTTCCGCCGTGTTCGCCTGTCGCTTCCAATCTTCCGGAAGAGTCTTCCGGAAGACAACTTCCGTCGTGTTCGCCTGACGCTTCCAATCTTCCGGAAGAGTCTTCCGGAAGACAACTTCTGTCGTGTTCGCCTGACGCTTCCAATCTTCCGGAAGAGTCTTCCGGAAGACAACTTCCGTCGTGTTCGCCTGTCGCTTCCAATCTTCCGGAAGAGTCTTCCGGAAGACAACTTCCGCCGTGTTCGCCTGACGCTTCCAATCTTCCGGAAGAGTCTTCCGGAAGACGACTTCTGTCGTGTTCGCCTGACGCTTCCAATCTTCCGGAAGAGTCTTCCGGCCTGTTCAGTTGCCGCTACCAGAAGCCGCCGGCAAGCGGACGACGGTGGCCATGGCATCAACCAGAGTGGACATCTTCTTGGGTTACACCATTGGAACCTCATTTGCCAGTAGCAAAATATGATAATTGGTTTTTTTACCCTTTTATCTGGCAACAAAACTGACACCTTTTCTGAGTTGTGCGCCTTTTGGCGTCATCTGGTCCAACACCAGGGTGAGACTAGGCTCTAAGAAAAGCTGTCTCGGGTGTGGACCAATCAACTTCAAGGACAGTGCATATCATTATTGCTGCGTGAAAGCGAATCATCAAATAATACATTGTTTAAATGCATGTCTATATAGGCCACCATACTTCAATAGAGATTACCGTTGGTACGGCTATTTTAATACACACAATGGACAGGAAGGACAAGATCAAAGGGCCTGCATAATGCGCATGCATCATCATGTGCGTTGACTCCGTAATCCCCCCCCCCCCCCCCACGTGGCGCAAGAGCGCAGAAGGGTGGTCACCACATCTACTACGCCTCTATAGAAGGAACGAAACAGGTGGACTTCTCCACAAAGCTGGATGTCGCCTGATGAAGCTAGTTGTAATTACTGGCGAAACGTCGTACTCAGATTGTAAATGTAACTTGGCTTTCCAACACACCGGTTAGTGCTGTACTCGTGACGAATTGGCACGTTCTGTTTACGTGACAACCCTTACTAGCTGACTGTCGGGTGGTGGCGGGTTTTAACGACACATTTATATATTTACGCGATCTAACCCAAACAACCTCTATTACGGTTCCCCTTCTTCAAGAGGGGGACCACCAGGGAATCCTTTGATGCAAGTGCTGTTTGTTGCTGGCCATTTGACGTCTTGGGCCTGTGCTCAGCAACTATTTAAATCAATAAATGCCCACGACGCTTCAGGTGACTGGGAGTTTATTTTACTGCACCGAAATTACGAGCGACACAGAGGACGTACAGGAGACAGGAACGGGTGGAATTGAACCCCTCACTTGACCCAGATAAGCCACCCACACACCACTCACCGCTGGCTCTTTAATACAAACCCTCATTGCTCAACAGCAGCTGAAGCACAAAAACACTACGAACAAAAACAAATCAAGTGCTGCCCGCGGTGAGGGCCCTTATCCCGGCCACGTGGCCAATGCCGGTTCGTCTCTGGCCAGTTTTTGGCCGATCGCAGCAGCAGCAGAGAACCTTTTCCCTGCGCAGGGCCAAACAGGACGTTCAAATACCTTTAGCAGGCAAAACGTACATCGACACAAAGCTTAGCTTCATATATATATAAAAAAGAATGCAAAGATTAGCGTGCGAGTGTCGAGCGAGTATAAAGGGAGGCCCGTGCAGCGACACAAATGACCGAGCGTCGCTAAAGTTACAAACACGGCGTTATTGCAAGGTTGAGCGAGTCGCTGCTCTGGAGACCGGGAAGATCGCCGCTCGATGTTCAGTCACCGGGTTTGAGGGCATTCGTGGCGATTCCTCACTCAATAGAGCGAGCCGCGTGGAGGCTGCCATCTCCCCGACTTCACAAATACCAAGGAGGCATCCTCCCAGTGGCGATGCACGACTCTGCTGACTCCTCGACGCAATTATCCGACTCAATCGTGTCAATGTAAAAACGATAGCCTGTTGCGCTACATGAACATCAGCGAGCCAACGAGGATTGCCAGGTTGAAAATATTCCCCAAGATGTTTGCAGTGACAGATGAATGTCAATTTGCAGGCCGATTTGTAAGTGGTGGCCTTCACGTGGCCACCATCCATATAAAAAGATGTCACGGCCCGCGGGCTAAATGTTTCCCACTGCTGGATATGATTTGTGTGGATTGTAGAATGCACAGCCCTGGCTGGGCGGTGTTGGTTTTGCGAGGCCGATCTACGTTCGTGCAGCATTAGCCACTCAGGCTGCCCGCTCAGAAGCGGCTCGCGCTTGCTACGAAGCGAGTCACATGGCCCATCGGCGTAGGTGTGTCGAGAACGTTGGCCAGGGGTGGCCAACCTGTAACAGACCAAGAGCCAAGACGTACCCATGAGTTCTGCACAGAGTCAAGTGTATATATATATACAGTTTTGAGCACAGCACGGGAGACGATGATTAATCTTTACTACTGTGACAGCACGTTCTACGTTACGCCCCTTCGATAGAGCTGCATGTCGTGGATTAAAGAGTCGCAATCCGGCTCGGGAGATGCCAGTTGGCCCCCGCCCCAATTACATTTGTAGGATACTGTACATGGCAAGGGTTATCCTGGGGTGAGTGGAGATGGGTGTAAACAGGTGCAGCATCCTGTATGAGGGAAGGTTCGAGAAGGGAAGTAGAAGACCGGTGGAGTCTGCTGGAGGAATCTACCGGAGGAAAGTGCTGGAAGTCACCAGAGCGTGGCCGAGTGGGGATAGAAGGGGGGGCGAGGTCCGCTCTCGAGGACGCCTGCAGGTGGACGACATCGCGGCCGACTGTTGGCGATCTACATGGTGGAAACCCATCAAGAAGGAATGTTCGAGATTAATCTGGCGGAAACCACCGGGGCTGCAGATAGTCATAGCCTTGTGAAACTTGTGAGTCGTACGCCTTGTAAATGTTATCGTGAAACAAATCATCTAGAAAATGGAACCTGCGATGGAGTTTCTTCACATTCTTTCCACCGGGGGACCCATTTCCAGGCATGCGACACCACCGACGCGGCCTGACTACAGTTCACAGGCGGCTGCGGTGGGAAAACTGGGCAGGGCCCTCTCGCTGGGTTCACAAACCTCGCGACGACTCACTCAGTGGCCGTAGGAGAACCGCACAAGGCAGTGACAGAAAGAAATCGTCGCCCGCCTGGTCGGTACAGCGCAGGTGAACGGCCTCTCAGTCCGCAGCGTGCCAGAGCTGTGCGGGTGAGCACGTGCCGTCGTGATCGCCATGAGGGATGGGGAAAGGCGACGCTAATTCAGCCGGATATGGTTTCGAGGCCCTCTTTCATTGCAAAAATGTCAACGTCATCCAAGGCCATCGTTATTGGTCGGACTACGGGTCGGGTAGTGGAAATTGCTGGTGGCCGTTGATTTAGTTCGGGTGACTTGCGTTTAGGACTTTATGTGTGGGTTAGTGTTATTGTAGCGGTCGGGGTTTCAACTAACGTTTGGGTTATGTCGGTGACCCGGGTGTCACTTGCATATGAGACGATGCTGGTCTCTTACAAGTTCTCACCTGGTTTACAAAATACACGGGTTCGGATTAGGATAGTAAGGTAAGCGCGAAGTTGAATGTGACGGCAGAGCAATGGAAAATGATTCATTCATTAGGGCTAGCTCTTGACTTACGGTTAAAAAGTGAGCACTCGCGTTAAGGCTGGAGTTACGATTGCGGTGTGGCAATCTCCGTGCGCCGCTCAAGTGCGTAGCACTCAGACGTTTCAACACTGTTGCCTGCCAACCTACGTGCGCTCACAGCGGCGACTGCAGGCCATCGTCTGCCAAGTTAAGGCCTAAGGGCGGCAAAAAGGCCTACATGGGGCCAGAGTCCGGTCGTGGCACCACAGCGTCCACTCAGCGGCGTGGCACTCGAGCGGCGACTGTGGTAGAGACAGCCGGTCCCTCGACAAGCTCGGCAAGCCAAGACCATTGAGACGAGACGAAGCCAAGACACGGCAAAACACTCCGACATACGCTTGATACCTTAACAAATATAAGTGCGTGTTAATGTTAACTATTGTCGTAATTAATTTCTAAGCTAAAATCGGAGAGGGAAAAACATATTCCTATTTTGTCCCGTCATTATCAATGTCTTTGAGCGGCGTTTCGTCCGCGACTCAAACTTGGTCCGGGATGCGTGGAGGGTGGCACCCGGGCAGAGAGTGGCTCCACAGGTGCCCACAGGTGCCCACAGGGACACGAGCTCACGAGACCACGCGGAAGAGACCCCCGTCCAGCCAACAAAGTGCCCACCGAGGCCATTGGCCTTACACAGCAGCCTGTAGCGTCACGGCGAAATAGTTAAGGCTTTTGTTTAAGAAAGCACTCCGTTGCATGTTTGTTGTCGCTAATGACCACTCCATACTCAATATATATTTCTCTTAAAGTTGCAACTCTAAGCGACACTGAAAATATGAAGCGCGGCTATTGACGACGATGACGACGATAACGACGCGGAGCGGATGCGTTTGCCTGGACGTGAGAGTCTAGCCTTTCTTCCTGGGATATTACCCATCACATTTGCTGATGACACTCAAATTATCTTCTCCTTCATATCATTCACCCCCGATCTTTCCCTCCGCATCTCATCCTGCCTGACACCCATACAAGCCTGGATGACCCAAAAATTCCTTTCCCTAAACCCTTCCAAAACCTCGGTGCTTTTCTTTTCATCCTCTCACTCACCCCCCCCTCCTTCACCCCCCTCCTTAGCCTCTTCCCAAACTCTTCCACCCTTACTCGCGTTACCTTCGAGTCCACTCTTTCCTTCACTTCCCACATTGCCAACACCACTCGCACATGCCCCTACCAGCTGTACAACATCAGGGAAATCCGCCCCCTCAATACCACCACCGCTGCCAAACTCATCGTACACTCCCCCTTGTCTTCACTCGCCTCGATTGCTGCGACTCACTCCTGGTCGGTCTCCCTGCTTACGCCTTTATCCCTCTCCAACACATCCAAAAGGCAGCTACACACACTGTACTCAACCTTCCATACACATTTCACTCCACCTCGACCGGTTCCTTCCCCCGCCTCTAACCCACTCCCAGCCTCCCGGTTCTCTCCCTCCTACGACCCGAATTCCTGACCCGGCTCTCACGTCTCGCTTTCTCTACGTGCACCTAACCACATCGCTCCCTCAGCCCTCCGCTGTGCTCCTCAATCAGCTCAACTATCCGGCCACCACACCTCTGCCCCTACCACCCTTCACCTGCTCTCATCCATGCCCAGCCATAGCACCTATCTCACCACTTCACGCCTGTGCCCCACACCCTGCTGCCTCTGATCCACGATGCACCCATCTGTCACCCTCATTCACCATCACACTTCACCTTATTCCCACTGACAGCCACTCCACTCCACTCGTTGCTCCTCTTCTGCCCCTTGTGTACCGCCGTCGGCTTGTGTTGTAAGGTGCCATGGAAAGGGCGTTGTATACATCCTAAATAGAATAGAATCCAACGTGAGCGGTGTCCTGTACAGGAGAGGCACGAGTCTCAAATGCGCGCTGTCAGCTCAAAATCTTCCGTGCAGTTTTAGTTTTTTTCTTGTCATCGTTGTTGTTGTTGACATAAAACACGGCCATCTCGTAAACAAAAAACACTGCAATCCAGGTCCCCCGAGATCCTGGGGGGGACAACAGCAGCGGCGCTGGAATTGGCAGCGCCAAGTCGACCAAACCACGGTTTGTGGCGACCAAGGTCCCTGGCGGTATTGGAATGTCAAAGGAGGCCGCTTCCGGTCAACGCCGTTAAGTCCACCCGCATCTGCGGCGTCGCTTCCTCCCCGTTGCCGTGATGGCCCCAGAGGAGAAGGCGGCGAGATGTTTGAGGCCGATCGTCGCCAGGCAGCACAGACACAAGCTCCAATGTGCAACCGCAAGCATGGTGGATGACACAGTGCGAAGCGAAGCTGAAACGATATCATTCATCGTTCTCAGGCATATCGACCGCATACGTATAAAACTACTTTTGTAATTGTTACTTTTTGCTACATGAACGTAATTGCGCCGAGTACATGGATGAACATGGGCATCCTCCACCCCTTCCCTCCCACCCCCTCATTCTCGCCCACACCCCCCACACTGTCGGGTCAGGTCGCTCTCTAATCTCTTCCATTTTCGCGTTCGTCCGGTAAAAATCTCAGCCCAGACGCAGCTCCAGCCCGGGCGTCCGATTCTTGACAAGGCCGAAAAACCTCCCTCGTCTCTTTAACCCCCTCGCAGCCGCGGCACCAAAACCCCACGGAGGCCGTGGGTCCGAGCGTAAGGAGAACCTCTCAAGCCTCGGGTCTGTGAAGCCGACAAGCCGGGGGACCGAGAGGCTCGGAGGCCGAGTGGCCCGGGGAGGGTGGATCTCAGGCGTCCTTCAGCAGGTTGATGCGAGCGCAGATCTTGAGCGCCGGGCCCAGCTTCAGGTTCATGGCCGACATGAGGTGGTCCTCCTTGAGCAGCAGCAGGGCCTGGCCGTCGATCTCCTGCGCTCGGAACTCGTCTGCGACCTCCTGGCAGCCTGGAACGCGTGACAGGCAGAGCGGTGTGACCGCACACAGTGTTACAACAACAACAAGACATCAACACAACAACAACAAGACGTCAACACAACAACAACAAGACATCAACACAACAACACAACAACACACAACAACACAACAACAAGACATCAACACAACAACAAGACATCAACACAACAAGACATCAACACAACAACAACGCAGCAATAGAGGAGAATTAGCCACATCCTGAGTTACGGCTGACTGGGGGCTTCAATAATAAGAAAGCCTTGGTTGCTGGAGAGTGCAAGGAGGGGAGGAGAGTGAAACAAGAGGGGAGAGGTGGGAGAGGTAAGAGAGTGGATGGAGTGCAGTAGAGAGCTCTGAGGGCAGGTTTGGTAGATTGAGAGCATAAATGTCTGGTAGATGATATAATGGTCAGACTGGGGTAAAGCCTCTGGGAATTGCAGGATCCATCGATTAACATCTCTTCTTAATATCTGTCCCCAACACACGCGTAAAATCACACCTGGAAGAACAGATGCTTTTAAACGAATACATGTTGTATATAATGGATAGAAATGACTCATCCAGCCACTTAAAGGCCACTAATTTCAAGTCCATGGAGGATCTTGAAATGTATGAACCGGGAGCCAGTTTGGGGGATCGGAGGACCGGTGACCCCCACGCTCACCGGGCAGCGAGTGGATGAACCCCCACACTTGCTCGACGCTCCAGCGGCTGGGACTCTCGTGCGAGAACCTCTCCCCGTGCGGCTCCGACGGATCGGTCATCGCCAGGTCGCGCATCTCGCGCTCGCGCTCGCTCTGCCGCCGCCGCGTCGTCATGGCGACGGTGGCGCAGGGAGACGAGGCGCGGTCCGCGTGCGGCTGCTCGCCCCCTGGCCGGTCATCGCCGCCGCCGCTGCCGCTGCCGCCGCCGCCGACACCACCGCCCGCCACAGGCTGCCGGTACCAGGGAAGACAAAGACAAAGGTCACCCGTATAGCCTTTAACAGACTGTTGTTGGGGCAAGTGCTGTTAGCGAGCAGCACCTATGGAGGCCGGCACGGCACACGAGGGGGTAGGTGGCTGGCACCACGCCCGGCCGCCTTTGTCTCCCTCAGTGGTGATGTTTACACATTGCACCAGGTACTTATTTGAGGCCGAGTCGTTCTAGGACAGGCCCAAGACCGGTTCGGAAAATCGTCGCTGGTGTCGGCCGTGAGCAGGCTGCACGGTGACAAGGAGATGGTGGTTTAATCTCTCTGTAATGAGGCTATCCTGGATAAAGGGTATCACTCGCGTTATCAATACTCAATGACTCCAGCAATGGTGGTGGTGGACAATGATAGCGGTGATGATTGTAGTGATGGAGCGTGATAGCGATAATGATGGTGCTGATAATTGCCATGGTAATGATGATGATAATTACACTAGCTATCATAATCAGGGTGATGGCGGTGATGGTAGTGATGATGACACTGGCTATCATGATCATGGAAGTGATGACTTATAGCATTGATGATGACGATGATGACGATGGCAGGAATGATGATGGTGGTGGTGACGATGGTGATTTTTGTGGTAATGATAATGATGGTGGCAGTGATACGATTATGATAGTTATGTTGATGAAAGCAGTGAATATAATGATTATGGTGGCGATAATGATGGCAATGATGATGGCGATGGTGGTGATAATGGTAGCAATGATGATGATGGCGATAACGATGACAATGAAGATGGCGATGATGATGATGGTCGCACCTGTCGCATGGAGTGCGTGCGAGCGAGTGGGTGGATGGCGCTGCGGCGCTGCCGCCCGCGCTGCCCCGCGCGCTCCCGGCGCTGCGAGACGTGCTCGTGCTGCGCGGGGCCGAAGAGCCCCACGTGCTTACTGCAGCCCACGTTGTAGCTTCGCGCACACAAACACAAAGACCCACACACCCCGTGTTGTAGCCTTCGGCAGACTCGTGAGCGAAGTGCTGTTCGTGAGTAGCACCTACGAAGGCTCGGTACGGCACACGAGGGGGATGGGTGGACAGCAACAGGCTCCGGCTCCCAAAGAGTGATATCGACGTCTTTTTTGTGTTGTTGTTGTAACTTCTAGATTCTAGATTTGTTGTAACTTGCTGACATCTGTGAAAAAGAGCTTCACAGCTCGTCGGATTACTATAAATAAAGACTCTGATTCTGATATTTTAACCACACCGTAGCAAGTACTCATTTTAAAGTTGAGTCAACCTCGGGAGGAACCGGGACCAGTTCAGATATTTGTCACCGATGTTGACCGTCATCGGGAATCAAATTCGGGTCGCCGCGTTCGTAGCGCAGTGTGCTAACCTCTGGACTACTTCTCCGCAGTGCTGATGCTTACACATTGCTGCAGGTGTATACATTTTGAAGGCTCAACTCAACTTAAAGGAGGTTCAGATATGTCGTCACTGATGTAAGTTAGTTCGGGCTGTGGATCGAATCCAGGTATGCTGGGTTCGTAGCTGAGCGCATGAACCACCTGACACCACTCTTCACACACAAGGGTGCAAGCATGCAGACTTACAGACGTGCAGACACACACACAGAAGCGTCAACAAAAATGTGCATGCGCACTTCGCTTTGTCTGTCTCACTTGTTGAAGTGAGCGAGTCTAAGCGAGGCCGCGTCTCTATACGAGGCTGCGTACCAAGTCCGCGTCTCCACGTGAGCCCACGAGTCTGCGTCTCCGTGTTAGTCCGCGTACTGAGTCTGCCGTGTAACGAGTCCGTGTCTCCGTGTTAGTCCGCGTACTGAGTCTGCCGTGTAACGAGTCCGTGTCTCCGTGTTAGTCCTCGTACTGAGTCTGCCGTGTAACGAGTCCGCGTCTCCACGTGAGCCCACGAGTCTGCGTCTCCGTGTTAGTCCGCGTACTGAGTCTGCCGTGTAACGAGTCCGTGTCTCCGTGTTAGTCCTCGTACTGAGTCTGCCGCGTACCGAGTCCGCGTCTCCACGTGAGCCCATGAGTCTGCATCTCCGTGTTAGTCTGCGTACTGAGTCCGCCGTGTACCAAGTCCGCGTCTCCCTGTGAGCCTCACCGCTTGGCGCACGCCATGGAGCAGAAGCGCTTGGAGCGGCGGAAGCGGAAAGCAAAGTCGATCTTCCGGCAAAACTCGCACTGGATCATGTCGACCTCGCGGCCCGGCTCCCCTCCTGACGGCACACGCAGATGGCCAGGGTCACGCCGTCACGCGGGGTCACACCGTCACGCGGGGTCACGCGGGGTCACACCGTTACGCGGGGTCACACCGACTCGCCCACCTCACGACCCCCGCTCACCCATCTCTCTCAGCCCCTCCATGTCCGAGTCGGACGAGTCGGGTCCCGGCGGAGGCGACTTGTCGTCCGAGGGGAACGGCGTGGAGCCCGGCGGCGCCGGCTGCCGGCCCTTGTCGGATTTCTCCACCAGCAGCGAGGAGCGGCCCACCTGCGCAGGAAACGCAACGGCATTACCCGCCAGGCTTTTGACGCAGGCCAATGGCAACTTTAGGCGCGGGCTGGTGAGCCGCTGCCACGGGACGGCCTCCGTTAAATTTATCACTTTTTGTTCTCCGAGGTCACACGGCATTGGTAAATGAAAACAAACGCATCGGGTTGTGCTGCTGTTGTTTGCGCACCACTACCAATGCAGTAGCAGCATTAAATTATTTGTTCCGTGAACTGCGAGCATGTGGTGCACTGTGTGGTGTGCGTGGTGGCACTGTGCGGTGTGTATGTTGGCACTGTGGTGCACTGTGCACAGTAAAAGCCGAGCGAGCCTGACTCATACAGATTAGCTCTGGTGTGGCTGCTAAATAGTCTTGCTAGCTAGCTGCTAAAAGCAACGTAATTAATAACAATAGCCCCGTGCTTACGTATTACTGTGAACGTATTAGTGTATGTGTTATTGTAGACCTCAAAGTGCATCTAGCATGGCACAAGCTACAGAGTGATATCACTGCCACCTAGTGGTGAATGGCAAATACAAAGTGCCTGTGGTATGGCATGTGCCCTGTACTGCGCTGAAATGTGTTCGTGTCTGTTGGACTGAGGATGTGCAAGGTCCCGCCACCCTCCCCCACCATAACGCAAGCGCCTCTGGCCTTGGAGCTCACGGGGAAGGGTTCGGCTCCCTCCTGGATGACGAAACCCTCGATGACGTGCGTCAGGATGTGCGGCTTCACGATCGCCTGGGGCGGCCGCGGCGTCTCGCTTCGGCCCGCGGAGACGCTCTCGGGGCCCGCGCCGCCGGGCGCCGGGGCCTCCTCGGTGGTGTCCATCGACTCGTCTGCCAGGTGCGCCGTCGTGGTTGTCACGCCGGGGCTCTTCGCCGAGGGCGAGATGGAGGGGGCCGCGTCGTCGCCCGTGTCCATCTCCTTGTCTGCGGGGTCACGGGAAGGCAGCGGAGTCCGCGTTGGTCAATGTCTACCGCTTCAAGCACGGGGCCACAAGCATCACTACTATCATCATCATCACCATCGCCACGGGCCACCGCTCGTGGTCTTGTAATGCATCGATCCATCTGGCAAGCGAGGTGAATTCATCGACCTCGACCTCATCACTCCTTCAAGTGGACGTCTGTAAAAAAGAGCTTCACAGCTCATTAAATTCCTTCCGTATAAATACAAATTATGATTCTGATAAGTGACATGTTCTGTCTAAACCCGCTTTTTCTTTAACCTCTGGGAGTTCTCTATGCCGAGTAGCTACCAAACATTCCATGGTTGCCATATGTGCTGTGAGGCTATACGGTGACCAGCAGAGATAGTAGTAAAGCAACTCTATTGTTGTACAGCTACTACACTTCTATGTGTGTAGGGACGCATGCTGACTGAGTGTTTGTACATTATGAGGATGGGGAGTGAGCGAGTGAATGTGTGAATTGGTGAGTGAGTGTATTGTTGTGGGGAGCGGTAGCGTAGTGGTCAGCGCATTGTGCTATGAACCCGGCGGCCCGAGTTTGATTCCCGCTCACGGCCAACACCGATGACAATTATTTGAACCAATCCTGTGCCTCCCCTAGGTCGACTCAGCCTCAAATAAGTACCTGGTGTGGTGTGTAAACATCGCCACTAGGGAGACAAAGGCGGCCGGACGTGGTGCTGGCCACCCACCCCCTCGTGTGCCTTCATAGGATGTTCGCTCACAGCACTTGCCCTATCAGTCTGTGAAGGCTATACGGGGGATCTTTGTCTGTCCCCCCCGTGTGCGCGTGCGTGTGAGTGCGTGCTTGTGTGTGTGTGCTGACCGTGCGTGTGCGAGTCAGGCCGGTAGTCGGGCTGCTGCACGGGGGAGAGGGGCGGAGGGGGCGGCGTGGGGCTGCGCGTCACCGAGCGCTTCTCTCCCGGGCTCCCCGTCGCCGTGGTGACGCGACCTTCCTCCCGCCCTCCACGAGACTGCAACGAGCGCAAAGCACACACGTGTACTGGCGTGCGCAAGCAAAGATCCCCCGATAGCCTTGACATACTGTTGGGGAAAGCGCCATTGGCGAGCACCTATTAAGGCCGGCACAGTGGCCGCGTCTCCCCGGTGCCGATGTTTAAACACCGCACCGGTACTCATTTAACGCCGAGTCGACCTAGGGGAGGCCCGGGACCGGCTCAGATATTCACCGCCGACGTTGTCCGTGGCTGAGAATAGAACTCGGTTATCGCAATGCGCTAACCGAGTTGTTAGCGCAATGCGCTAACCGCTGCGCCGCCACCGCCGCCGCCCCCACCCCCACACATATTTACACGCGCGCACACAGACGGGCGCACATGCTTGCGCACGCACACGTTATGCAACGGCACAGCTACGGACCATTTCACTTTGATTTCCATTCACGTATTTACAAGCGTGACAGTGCTACAGGAACCGCACGGGGGAGGCTCACATTGGCCCCAAGACGACTCTACCAAGCGAACGGCTCGCGAGCAATGCGGAAGGTCGTGAGTTCAACTCCGAGTTGGGGTGCTCGACTCAGCTCATCATCATCATCTCTCCGGGGTGGATAACATAAGTACCACTTTTTGGGAAACTCAACAGCGGATGCCCGATGGACAGATTTATCCCTGTCATAGGAATTTCCACCACCGGCTCTGCAGGGCTGTAAAGCGGCGATGTGAGCACCAATGCACCAATGCTCATATGAGCCGGAAATCAATTTTTTAACGCCACTCAACAACGGTGAAAACCAACGCCCAGTGCAGCAACACTGGGACACTGGGGGTGACGAACGAAGCTGGCGCACTTGAATAGTTATAGAGGAATGAGCGGCAGTATTTCCTTCATAATTCAACTGCTAATGAATCAAGTACTCCCCATGCCAAGTCAATTATGTGCGTAGTTTGAACTGGAGTTCACCTTGCTGGTCAGCACAGGTTGCCGAAGAAGGGTGGACCAGGAAGAGTTCAGATCGGGTTTCGTTCATTTTAATATTCAATAATTTTGCCAAAAAAATCGAGCGCGTTCCACGTAGGAAAATCACCCTAACGTGCCTCCTGGTGTAACTGGATCTCGGTTGGAAGACTTCCTCGGCTTGCCAGGAGTTGTGGGCTTGGGCTTTGAGGCGGCCAGGTGATAATGGATACCTCAATCTATCTTTGAGTGTCTGGCCTGCACGTGTGTGGGTTTCCCTCGGGTGTTACAGCATACTTCGGCATGCCAAAATCTCATTTTTGGAAGATGCCAGACATTCCAATTTAGGACTCTCCTGTAAACAGTCTTCAGACTCTCTCCAAAGTAAATCAATGTAAATGTTTATATGCAGGCTTTCATGATCAATATTGATATCAATTTGACGTTATGCCTACACGATCTAACCCGACGGAAACCATGAATCTTAAACAGAAATACATCTATTCACTATGTACATTTAATTCGTTTTGCCTCCCTCCCTCAGGTTATGCGCGCCCCGTACAGTGCGTGCCCCGCACGCCCCATACAGTGCACGTGTGTCCCCCATGCTCACCGATCCGGCCTGCGTCTGCGTCGTCGACTGCACCTGCAGGTTCATGGCGACCGTCTGCGGCGGCGGCAGCAGCGCGTAGCCGCCCTGCTGCGCGAGCTGCCCCAGGGGCTGCTCCCGCACCAGCGTGGGCAGCACGTCCCTGGCCTTCCCGTCCGTCGGCGCCGACGTAGGCAGCGTCTGGTGCGAGCAGGGGCCGTGCACGGGACGCGGCGCCGGCTGGCCCTGCCTGGCCGCACCCTGCTGAGCTTGCGGCTGCACCTGCGCCTGCCTCACCTGGCCCTGCACCATCCCCTGCTGTGGCTGCGGCGCCGGCCGGCCCGGCGCCGCCGGCGACTGGGGAGCGGACGGCGGGAGCGAAGGCTGCGCCAGCCTGCCGCCCTGCACCTGCAGAGAAGCCGAGGAGGAGGAGGAGGCCGCCGGTGCCACCGCCTGCCGGCAAGCGCCGCCCGACAGCGGCGGCGCGGCCTGGTGGCCACCCTGACGGCCCTGAGCGGTGGCCATGCTTTGCTCGGCCTTGTGGCCTTGCAGCAGGGCCTGCGGTGCTGACGAGTGCTGCTGCTGCAGCTGCTGCTGCTGCTGGTGGTGGTGATGGTGGTGGTGATGGTGGTGGTGGTGGGCGTCGCAGGTGCTGGGAGGCGAGCGCGACGCCTGGCTCTGGCTCAGGGCCACGTGCGGTTGCACCAGTGCGAGGGGCTGCGGCATCACCTGTGGCGGACGCGCGCCCGCGCGTTACCGCGACCGTGCCGTCGCGACGCAACCGTGCAAAAGCACGCTCGGAAAGCAACGGTAACATTCAGCGAAGCACAAAAGGTTCAACCTTGAGCTTCAGCTTTTTGTGCCATCGACAAATGTGGCGTGTTAAGAATTCCCGCAGCCGAGCTGGTATAATGGGAAAACGATGACCAAGGCAAGAGAGCGGGCATCATCCCGGTCAGCATCGCGCGCCCGAGCGCTGGTGTGAGATGCATAAAGGAGGCAGCCTTGCCAAGGTCGTGACTTCACGCCGACGGCTGGCTTAGCGGACACAGTGGGACCGACAAATCTATTTCCTACGTTCAGAGGTCAAGCCTCCTGCGCCCTCTGCGGTGCTGAACACAGCAAATCGGTAAGCGTATAAAGAACATCAGGCAAAATGCAACGACATCACAATACGTACAGCGATGCACATTCTAACCGTGTTCTAGAGGGACTAGAAAGCCAACAATCCCAAAACGAAACCGGATTTTGACTTTGCGTAGCCAAAAATAACGGCCTGGAAATTAACCCACTGCACTCCTAGGGCCGGCTCAGTCTACCTTGCCTTCAGTCTCCTGCTAAGCACTTGCAATCATATAATCCCCACCATTGGTGAACCAAGTAATTTGCTTCCGATGAAGTGAGATGCCCAAGCCGATAGAACATGGTCCAAAGCTGACTGCTGGTCACGAGTGTGGCACAAAGAGAATTCTCACTCACAGCAGCATGAAGAGAGAGGTGCTCATTATTCTAAAGTCATTGGAATTGACGCCGGTGCTGTTGTTTAACTCACAGTAGAGAGCGAGTCAGCCGGTCATCGGCAGTGGAAAACAGGAAGGTGTGGAGCCTGGACCGACCAGCTGGGGAAGGAGAGCTACTTGCTGTACTGCCGCCCCCAGGCGACAGGGGCAGGTGGTTCCGTACCCAGTCGGCACGACTGTCCGATCCCGCTCACAACGCACTTGCGTATTCTCAGATTAACGTAATCCATTGTTTGTTAATTAACCACGACTAACCAAACCGGTAATAGGTACTGCATGTTCTCAGATTAACATAACCCATTGTAATTCATATCATCACAATAACCCCCCTCTGATCTTTGCAGCTTGCTTATTTAAGATCGGAAACAGGAAGACTTCTTCACACAATTGGCACGTTTGTTGTTAACGTGACAAACCTTACTAACTGGCTCTGCCAGGTGGTGGCAGGGTTAATCGACACATTTGTATTTATGCGATCTCACCCAAGACAAAAATAAACCTTGATTGTGAGCTCACTGGAGCGTGCGACCGCGACCCCCCCCCCCGCTCGCCCCACGTACCGCGTGCTGGGCCTGCGCGTTGCCCTGCCCGGTCACCGACGACGACGCCGACGGCGGCGGCGGGAGGGCCTGGGCCCCGCCGGGCGAGCCCTGCAGCTGCGGCGTGGGCGACCGCGCCACGGCCTGCGGCGTGGGCGACCGCGCCACGGCCTGCGGCGTGGGCGACCGCGTGGGCGCCTGCGGCCCCGAAGCCGACCCCGCGCCGTGCGGCGTCGCCGGCCGGCCCTGGGACGCGGGCGACGCCGGCGGCGGCGGCGGCGGAGGCGGCGGCGGCGGAGGCTGGCCGGGGCACGCGGGCCGGTGCTGCTGCGGTGCGACGTGCAGCTGGCAGTGCAGCGACGGCTTGGGCTGGGGGTGCGGGATCTGCTGCGAGGAAATCAGGTGCTGGGCGGCCCCGATCATGCCGGCTGGAACGGAGGTCATTGGCAAAGATCGTTAGAGAGGATAATTTGCTCAATTAGGGACGTTTAAACACCGGCGGTGGTTACCGACCACGCGCTGCAGGGTGGCCCTGTGCCTCACAGCAATATGGCCTGGGTTCGATGCCCTACTTGGGCACATTTCTGTGTGGAGGTTGTATGTTCTGCCCATGTTCTGCATGGCTAAAAACAACAAACAATATAACGCGTGTTGGCCAAATATTTCAAAACTGAAAAATTATCTGCAAATCACTCAATTGATCGCAGAATATACAGCGACACCATCGTCAACGCCACAAGGGTATTATATGACTTGTTCGTAAAGTTTTCAAATTTTCAAGCCCAATATTATTTGCATCAGTTTTGCCGTCACATTTGTGCTGCCTCCATTAGGCTCAGCACAACAGTCGCATGTCACCTGCACGCGATTTGCATCTGTCGGGTAGGACCGACAATGAGCGCATCGTCGAGCTTAGCAATGGGCTTCAACTAATATGCCGCTAATGACGCGACCCCAAAGCGCCCCCGCGCGCGTTCCCGCAACCCGCTCGCTCACCCGGCGCGGCGACGGGCAACGAGGCGACGGGGGTCGGAGTTCGCGTGGCGCCGGCCATGTTCCCCGACGACGGGCTGCCCGTGTCGCCCCTCCGCCAGCCGCCCTCGTCCGCCGCTCCACTCTTGGGCGACGTGGCGGCCTGGCCGGATGGCTTCGTCAGGCCTGGGGCCTTGGGCTGGCCGGCCGCGGTCGGCTTAAGCGGCACGCTCTGGGGTGGCTGCGGGCCACCGGCCCCCACCGCAGCGGACGCCCCCACCGCCGCCGCTGACGACGACGCAGCCGCCGATGACGACGACACAGCCGCCTGCTGACTTCGTAGAGCCAGGTTCTGCACCTGGCACAGGCAGTGGCACACCCAGCTAAGTATGCATGTTGAGCTTCTTTTGCACCGTGCTACGGAGGTGCAATCAGAACCTAATTAGAACAAAAGCAGGATACAAACGTGCGTGCCGAACGTGACCCACTCAGTATACGTCAAACAACCCCTATGAGGCATGCGGAGGCCTCCATCCAGCAGTGGATTGATGAAGGTCCATAAATTATTGTTATCATGACAGCATCTAAATGCTGCTGAGATTGACATTGATGTCAGGTGAACCTGCATGTACTTTGTATTTCACCCAATGGGGCTTTGCGAACAGACGGACAGATGGACAGGACAGACGAACACACAAGAGGGTACACTCAAACGGACGGACGGACGGAGCGCAAGCTACCCCGTGCATCGCTGGGGTTACCTGCGCCGCAGCGGAGCCCGCGGTTGCCATGGTGACCTCGGGCTGCAGCGTGGCGACGGCGGGCGTGAAGATGAGCTGCAGCGAGAGCGGAACGGGGCTGCCCAGCGTGCGGCCGGCCTGCACGGGTGTGCTCTGCTGGGCCTTGAGTCGCGAGGGCAGGGACAGGGACCATTCTGACATGAGACAATTTGGCCTCGCAACTCTTCCAGCTAGCGGTGTGCCACCTCGCGTCAGAGCACAGCCGCTGAGGGCGACGTCAAGACACTTATTTCGGTCTCTTTATCCGCAAAGTATTTGGTGCTGCTGCTGCTGCCTTGGCAGAGGTGCACAAAATGTTTTTTGAAAAACTCCACGCATTCATCAATAAAACTTTAGCCTTAAAAAATATAAATATGTAATAAAATATATTATCAAAGTTACATAACTGGTTCTCAAAGTTTGAATAAATCAATTTGAGGGAAACATTTTAGTTCGCATGTTTGTTTCTGCACTTATTGAAGACCAATCAGCACCACCCACTTCATCTTCATGCCAGTCAAACGAATGTGAATTCTCTGAAGGAAAAACAACATTCCGGGTAATGCACGCTAACCCGTACCTTCTTAGAGCGTGTGGCTTCCATCATTAGCTACTCCTCACTCGTAACTGACAAATTACTTACAAAATCTAAAAACGAAACACATCGTCAATAACACCGTGGGTTAAAAACGAAGTGTGGTGCAGGTGCGCCATGAAGAAGGGCCAATGCCCGAAACGTCACCTCTCTTATATTCACTGGTTACAGTAAATCTAGCTGTGACGGTCCCACCTGATGACGGAGACTTGTGTTGCCTCCGAAACGTCGTAATTTACAATTTTCATTTCTATTATTATTTCTATTATTTTTATTTTTAATTTTTACCTACGTGACTTTACCGAAAAAACCTAAGAGTATTAATCCTTGCAGTCACGAAAGCTTCAAATCTAAAACTCTCTTATATTTTTCCTTTTGAAGCTGCAGTGTTATTGGCATTCGTGAGGAGTTTTTTTGTCGTTACAATATCTCGTCAATAAGTGCATTGTAATTAGAGATGACGGTTACGGTTACTACGACAAGAGTGAATGACGATGATACCGAATAAGTACAGAGCTCTCTCTTGATCGATACAAGGCAGCAGTGAAAGAAAACGCCATTCTAAAAAACAGCGATGCTGCAAGTTCAGAATTAGTTTTTGGTGCCCAGGGGGCGGTGTGGTGATGACGAGCGTGTTAATGGGTGTGACAACAACCACGTAGGTCAAAGGGGGGGAGGGGGGGGTAAGGTTTTGACTCAGAATAGAATCAGTACTTCTGATTGGCTGCCTAATGATTTGTCAGTGTTCCTGTGGGGTGCTCAACCTCACCATCTGCGTGGCCTGCAGGTACATGTGATTGGCCGTGTGCGACGAGGGGGCTGTGCTCCCAAGCAGCACGGCCTGCTGGGTAATCCCTGCTGCCGATGTCACCGCTTGGGGCCGTCCAATCAGCTGCAGGGTCACAGAGAGGTCAAGTTCACGGTCACAGCGATAATAAAAAAACACGACTGCAACACTCACGATGGTTCATGTGACAAGAAGGTCCTGCAGCCAATGTTAAGATTCTCAATTGAATGTTGAGTTGCATTTGTTTGGTGATGTAGGGTGGTGGAGGATCTTGTGGCAGAAACGTGGCCAGATCATTACCTGGTCTAACCCAACAATGTATTGGGGCTCACACACAACAAACATCCTCAGCAGTCTTGAGACTCAATGAAAATGTTGAAGGGTAGGATAATACTATAGCATTTGTAAATAAACAGGGAGGCATGTGTGGTGTATGGATATTAGCGGAGATTTAAATGAACAGTAGAAATTCATTCTTGCAACACTCAACATCACCCGGCGTGCCTCTGCCTGATCATTAACAGCGGTGAGAGAGAAGGGTTCGTTTTCACAGTGACCTTGCCAACGAGACCCCGACTGACACCGCCACGGTGCCCTGTAGGCTGGGACTAATTTCAGAGTCAAATGCTCCCAGGTATCTGGTGCTGTAGTAGAATGGAATGGGCACGTGACTACGAGCAGCCTTCAGGGGTAGGTCAGTTCACCACGACGCCCCCCCCCCCCCCAGGGATTCTATAATTTGTTGAGTTCCATCTGATAATCGAGGTATTAAATTCACATTGCGGCTAAACGACAGCCCGCGTCATGATGAGATTTCCAGGGTGGCATGAGGCCACCGCCGTAATGTCCGCACTGCTCGGCATTGACGTTCGCCGTGGGGGCGAGAGTGGGACTCGGCAGGGAGCCGGGTTCACAATGCCACCGCTCCCCCCCCCCCACCACCTCATCACCATCATCATCCACCACCTGTGTCTCACACAGTGCAATGACACCGCATTATACTGGTAGGAACCTCCTGGTTACACCAGCCCACAGGGAATTATTGTGTCCATCCGTCAGTCGTGCAGAGAGGGGAAGGTGGGTAGGGGAGGGTGGGGAGGGGCTGGGTGGGGAGGGGCTGGGTGGGTGGGGAGGGAGGGGCTGGGTGGGTGGGGAGGGAGGGGCTGGGGGAGGTGGGGGAGGGGCTGGGTGGGAGGGTGGGAGGGGCTGGGTGGGGAGGGTGGGGAGGGGCTGGGTGGGTGGGGAGGGTGGGGAGGGTGGGAGGGGCTGGGTGGGGAGGGGCTGGGTGGGGAGGGTGGGGAGGGGCTGGGTGGGGAGGGTGGGGAGGGGCTGGGTGGGTGGGGAGGGAGGGGCTGGGTGGGGAGGGTGGGGAGGGGCTGGGTGGGGAGGGTGGGGAGGGGCTGGGTGGGGAGGGCTGGGTGGGGAGGGGCTGACTGTGTATGTGTAAGTAGTGAACACGTGGTATATTGGTAAGTAAGTCAACGCAAGTAATAACGCCACATCGCATGTTCACTGATGACTTCCTGCCACGTACAGTGCCTGCTGCATGGGTCGGGTAACCGTGTCCTTGTGTCCTATTATAATCGCGAGTCCCATCGTTACAACAATACTCACTAACACCACCACCGTCAAACTAATCATCAACGTCGTCGGTACTGCCAATAACATCGTCAACGCCTTCATAACAACATTCACGACCATTATACTCCCAACCGTAATGATACATCAGTCATCACCACCAACAGCATCATCATCATCTTCTTCGTCATAACCATCATCACTACCATCATCACAACCACCAACAGCTTGATCACAACCATCATCCGTGTTACCTCCATAACCCCAACCAGCAGCAATAATCCTCATCAACATCATCATCATCACCATCATCATTACCATCAGTATTACCATCATCATCACCATCATTATTACCATCATCACCATCACACACGGCAAGTCGTCACATGTTACACTCACGAGACGATCGATCGCTGCCGGTGATGATGGTGATTCGATTACTTTCCGCGATTCAAAGTTGATTGCAGAATCGATTCTTTTGGTTTATTATTTTCTACCTACGTGACTCTACCGAAAATAACCTAAGAGTATGCATCCTTGCAGTCACGAAAGATTCAAATCTAGAATTGCACAGGCAAGTACTGTATGTTCAGTCTTACTGTTTGTGCTGCCTTGTATACACTGTCTCATGTACACTGTCTGTACTGCCTTGTATACTGTCTCATGTACACTGCACTGCCTTGTATACACTGTCTCATGCACACTGTCTGTACTGTATACACTGTCTCATGTACACTGTCTGTACTGTATACACTGTCTCATGTACACTGTCTGTACTGTATACACTGTCTCATGTACACTGTGTGTACTGCCTTGTATACACTGTCTCATGTACACTGTCTGTGCTTCCTTGTATACACTGTCTCATGTACACTGTCTGTGCTGCCTTGTATGCACTGTCTCATGTACACAGTCTGTGCTGCCTTGTATACACTGTCTCATGTGCACTGTCTGTACTGCCTTGTATACACTGTCTCATGTACACTGTCTGTACTGCCTTGTATACACTGTCTCATGTACACTGTCTGTGCTGCCTTGTATACACTGTCTCATGTGCACTGTCTGTGCTGCCTTGTATACACTGTCTCATGTGCACTGTCTGTACTGCCTTGTATACACTGTCTCATGTGCACTGTCTGTACTGTACAGTCTCATGTACACTATCTGTGCTTGTGTTCGTCTCTGGCGAGTTGGGTGTTGACTGTCCGGGATGTTGCCGACTGCCTCGTGTCTAACAGAGAGGGCCCTTGCCCATAGCGAGCCGGACTGCTGATGAGACACCCCCAATGTCGATCCCGGGTCTCAGCGTTGTTCTTGTGTTGGAACCGATGCTGTTCAAATAGCGCAACACTTAAAAGTCAGTGTGGCTGATGGGATTTGTAAACAAGATAAAACATCACACATATATAAATAATAACGTGTCTATGTCATTGCATTTTAATTCAAGGCACTCCAAGAACGCATCTCGGGTGTACTTCGCTGTTCAGTATCAGCGGCAATTAGGTGTTCTGCCCTCTAGCGGTGCAATTGTAGACCAGAATTAAGTTTACGTGTTAAAAAAATACAATTATGAATGTGCATTCTAGAGCATTTAAACCAGCTGCATTCCCAAGTGCAGCTTACTCAGCGCAGTGTATCGTGCCCATGCGTCGCCACCTTGTGGATGTAACTCTTTCATCCCCTTTAGACTACAACAGACACAGAGCTGCCCTTTTGTTATGCCACGTTAACCGTGGATCGGTCCCATCAGGAACACGACAAGAGCTCGTTGCTGATCTACAGTCGTGCTGGTGTGTTGTCGTCACGGACCCGTGACTTTGGCTGGAATCGCAACCATGAATCTACATTTCCGAATCTACATTTCCGAAGCGTACGTCGACAAAAAAAGCATTTTGACTAAAGAACTCTGAATGATCTTGTGAGCTCTCAGAAAGGCAAGCCGGCTTCAGCCTGGCCACCACCACGCTGCTACGCCGTGGTCAGCGCAGCAAAGTCCACTGTTGTACTGCGGTTCTATGCTCCCACAACCCACGCTTGAGGGACCCATCCAACCGCGTGTTTGTGGTCGATGTAAAGTTATCGGAGCAACGATCGTCAAATGTGTATATAGCACTGATACTATGTACGGCTTTATAGATATACGATTTAATTTAAAAGTGTTTCTTCGACTCACGATGCATGCATTGCATTGCGCGTGTCGGATTCCTTTTTTTCTTACGTACAATTTACGCAAGTTATGAATAAATATGACACTTTCGATCTTGATTTGATGACTACACTTGCGCTAACACAACCCGGGGCAAGAATAGACTCCTCGACGGAACTGTGACGAGATTGATCAGATCGTGGCGAGGGTGAATTATTTACACAACTCTTATGTGTATCCTGGTATGAGCATAAATGTTTAATAATAATGGCTATGCTGTGGGTGAGCAAGTTGGGGCTACCGTGAACCTGACGGACTGTTGGGGCGAGTGCTGTTAGCGAGCGCCTATCAAGGCCTCCTGATGTAGCCAGCACCACGCCCGGCCGGCCGGCCGGCCGCCCTGGGCTTCCCCAGTGCTGATGTTTAAATACACACCGCTGTTACCAAGTACTCATTTAAAGGCCGAGTCGACCCAGGGGAAGCCCAGGTCCGGTTCAGATATTCGTCAGCGTTGTTGGGGACTGTGGGAGGAAATCGAACTCAGGTTTGCTGGGTGTCAAGAGTGCAATGCGCTAACCGCTGCGCCACCGCTCCCCCACAACGATGAATCTATCTCAAATACCTGGTTTGGGTTCGTGATCACAGAGCTTGGTGGTACGTTCTGGATCTTCTCCAGTTCTACTCGGGCTAAAGCTGAGTGGGTGACTGGGTCTCACGTCAGCTTTAACACATTCCTGCTGCGGAGGGAGCTGGTAGGAACGTTGGGTTGCTCGGTCAATGGCCGGGGTCAATATGCCCGACTGTGAGGGCGGGCACAAGCCGGCGTATGTTAAACGTTGAGTTTTATAAGGGCACCACGGGGTGACCAGCTTCTCCCCACCAGCCCCACCCTCCCCACCCAGCCCCTCCCCACCCAGCCCCTTCCCCACCCAGCCCCACCCTCCCCACCCAGCCCCTCCCCTCCCCACCCAGCCCCTCACTCCCCACCCAGCCCCTCCCTGCACGACGGACGGACGGACACAATAATCCCCTGTGGGCTGGTGTAACCAGGAGGTTCCTACCAGTGTTAAGCCTGTCTGAAGCGATACAACAGACGGCCAGGTCACGTTATACACTGCAGCGAGGTTATGTAACCTCAGCCAAAGATGCTGCATGGGCTTGTACAAGCAGCAACAAAAAACAACTAACGTTGCTTCATAACAACTGTATATGCTGTAGTACACACGTGCGCTCACACAACACACTCGCGAGCACACAGTGAAATGCAGGCTGACTGACACGCATCGACGCTGACACACGCGTTCATGTTGACACAATGGCACATCAATGACACGCACACACAGCCACCAGCAATGTCTCATACAACGACACACAGACATGC